AACCAAATCTTGTTTTTTCTCAGTAAAACACATTTTGTCTTCAATTATTTTCATATATTGCATATTTTTCCTATTTTAATTTTTTGTTTTGAAAGTATGGTAAAAACTGGTAAAATGTACCAATAATCACATTTAAAAAATATACACTTTTTGATATACCATAAAAAATATAAAAAAACAGGTAGCCCATCTGGCTGCTGAAAATGTAGCTTTGCATCACAGAAATAAATTACATTTAAAAATACAACAAAATAGAAAAGTGCCCTTTTAAATTGTAATAATATTGCGCAATATTAGAATTGCTACTATATTTTTAATCAAATAAATGCAGCCTTGGTGAGCATAAGAAACTAATTTCAAATACATTTAAAAAATCTTACCAACCCCAAACTTAGCCATTAAACAATGTGATGGTCAAACATGATAATGCATTCTTTTCTTTTTTAATTTCGAGTAAATATAGTCTAAAATATGTTTAATTCCAGCGCTTTAAAATGTCTCATTCCAGTGGCTTTATTTCAAAGCTACCCATGTAGAACAGTCAAAATTGTCAAGCTATTGAAAAGCAATATGATCTCTTTCATCTTCATATAACACTTGACATCGGATATGGGGATGTTTTAATAAGGATTTAAAAATTTGTGGCAAAGTGGGACTGAAATATGAGTGCTAATGGGGACAGGATCAGACTTAGGTGATGAGAAATCAGACTTATAGTAAATATAACCCTCATACCTATTAAGTTTATTGAATTCCGTTCCCTAATACGTACATCCTGTCGCACTTTAACACTTACAACACATTCTGTCACATCAGTGGCGCTGTTAGCCCTGCACACACACATGCGCGCTGACATGCATGTCTAGTGGAGTGACAGTTGAGCGCCTCTCCCTGACAGTCTCTCTTGCTCTCCAACACCTACAAACATGCCCAAGAGCACAAACTTGTCCCATTTCTGTGTGCAATGACATGCTATAATGAAATTTATTCGGAATTGTTTGTTATTATTTAGATTTTTTCCCCTTTGAACAAAACCATGACAGTGCTCGTTGGCTGTATAGTTGTTTGTAGTCAAAAATCTGATTCACAATAATTTGTAAACAATAGCTAGATACTGAAGGCTAAATTACTTATCTTTAATGTCAGGGTAAAAAAACAACAACTTTTTTCCCATTAAAACACAATATATTTTATTTTAAAGCAACATACAGAATATTTGGAACAGTAATATTTGTTTCTTTTTTCTTTGTTCTGTTTCTCAAATGTTTGCTGAATTGTGGCTTGTCCTGCAGCTTTTGATGTGGATGCTTGATGCTAGAGCTACTGCTAAGAAGAAAAATACAGACTGACGTGTTCATTTAACCTAAATCTTTTTTTTGCACACACTTGCAAAAATATGTTTTGATTATTTATGTATATGTACACACACACACATTGTATTAAACATAAGTCAAAAAATTAATTACATGATTTAATTGATTTTATGTAATAACATACTACTTCTGATAAGAATAATATCAAATAATGCTATAAAATCAATTATTGTTATTTTTGTGTTTATGCACATAGCGATATTCAATTTAAAAAAATATATATATATATATATTTTAACGTTTTTTAAGCAAGATACAAGAAAGAATGAAAATATGAGTACATGATGATTATTTGCTCTATTACAGACCAAACTATCTGTAGCCGTTTAGAGTTAGTCAACCACAGCATTTTAATCATGATCCTATCATGACTTGACACGTCCCTATCTGAAAAAAACAACAACATCTACCCTGACTAGCAATGGAAAGCATAGCAAAACAATTTTATTGTAGTTTTTATAGTCTGTAATTCATTTTTAATATTGTATATACCATGTTGATAATTTTGAACTTTGTTGAACTTAGAAATTAAATCGTCAATCACATTTTGCTCAGATGTCTTTGGATCTGAATCAGCTGTATAATTTCAGAGCTCATGGATGCTTGTGGTGCGTTTGGAGTCTGTTTAAGATGTATTTTCTCTCTAATTAGTTTTAATTTAGTACAAAAACAACCCCACTTCTTTCATTTGCTTTTGTCATTTGCTGGTGGTACACAGAGAAAAATCCCACTAACCACTGTTCATTTTCTCCAGGATCCGTTATCTGCAGCCTTGCCTGCTTGTGTCCATGTACAGTAATGGAATTTGGTTGGGAAATTTACCAGACCTCTAGACGGGCTTTCAGCACTTCTTCACATAGAAAGGCATCCAAGATTTTTTTTTTTAAGTGTGGCTCTTAACTGTCCATTCTCAAATCAGTGCACACCTCCCACCCCCACCACCCCCTGTCTGGCCACTCATAAAAACACTTAAGTACATACCTCACAACACATACCTCATATATATACACTAACCGTATTCATGTAACTGCTGCTTAGCAGGACCTGTTTTGCCTTGAAGCTGGCCGTTCTGCCCATCAGACTCTGACTAATAAGTTAGCTTCAATTAGCATGTGTCCTACTCAGAGATATGCATCGCTGCAGCCTATGCTGTGAATAGTAGGCTAGCTGCTTCCGTTTCACCCGAAGGAGGTAAGAGCCAGTCTCTCGCAGCTATCTGCCCCATATGTGCAGGGAAATGTCACTGCCTCTGCGGAACGCTCACTGGATCACTTGCCCCGGCAGGAAGTAAGTGTCACCTGACCCCACTGCTGCGACTTCACACTTCCCTCAGGGAGCGAATGTCTTTTGCACAGACCTACACTCAAAGGACGTTATGCAAAACTTCTCAAAGCTTATCCTTCCTTCAGTCTGTGGGTTTGGAATGAAAACATTCCTTGTAATTGGTCCTAATTTTTTTTTTATAGCATTGCATTTTATGCTCAGTACAATGTTAATCATTTTAAATCTAGTTGAACTAGAAATGAAACACACTTTGATCAGATGTCTTTGAATCGAAATCAAAGACAATGTTATTGCATTGCATTTTATTGCATGTTTTATTTTATTGCAGTTGTTGTTTGTTAGGTTTATGGCTGGTTATAACAAAACATCAGATTTATTTTATATGTATTAACAATATATATTAACTATTTAGATAATAGTTATCTATAAATATATACATTCCCACAATTTAAATGTCTTGTGTGTAATTTTAACAATTTTGCAAAAAAGACAAGTCATAATTTTTGCAATTCTATTTGGTGATACAGTAGTGGTGCAAAAATTGTATAAATACTCTAAGTAATCAATAATTTTTTTCCATTTCAGACTAGTTTACATTTACAGTAACACTTACTGTGATTGTATTAGATGACAATACCATGGTACTATATGTTTTAGAATTATGTACCCGGGTTTTTACATGATACTCATAGAAAACCATGGTAATGAAATAAAGGTAGATTCCAAAATGTTCTACTTTTTACTGTTTTGTAAGGGTAAATGCATTAATAAGTGACCTTTCATCTTGTAAATGCGAACATTGGTGCCTGCACCCAGCTTGGGCCGTTCGATTTAATGGTAAATTACGCAAGTTAAAATATTTATCTTTGCCCCACTATGTGGGAGTACAAGGAGTGTGCTGCTTGTGTCAGCGGGAGAAAAAACATAAAAAAAACTTTTAATGAGCCTGCAGCTTCCATCATTAAGCAAGCAGTCACAACAAAGTGACTTTGTTCTCTCCCGCTCTCTCTTCCATCTCTCATAATCTGTCTCTCCCTCTCTCTTCCTACTCGTCTGCCTCTCTGCTCACACACACACACACACACACATTTATAGAGCAATGCCAGAGATCAAGGTCAGCTCAGATGGAGTCGGGCCAGAAGCCCCCACACAAGCATTATGGGTGATTGCCTTCTCGTGTCAGCCATCAGCTGAGATCACATCTCTTCCAATAAGTTACCAGCATTTCAGATATTCAGTCTCTGCCTGTTACTCTGTCTTTCCCCTTTCTGTTTTTTCATCTCCTCCTTTTTCTTTTACAACAACAAATACGTGTCTCTGATGGATGAAGGCCCTTGCTCAATACCTCTTGGCTTTCAAATGAGCTTTGCTAACATAACAACTGAGCGCTACTGGTTTGAGAAAGAAAGGAAGTTTAGATGAAGGGCTTGAGTCTCCATCAGCAGTCGATGCATCAAGGGTCTGATGCTTTCTGAATGCTAAAGAGAGCTCAGTGCTGTATATGCACTACATAAGCGCCCTCCTCTCCCCTATCGTCTTATGCATGATTAAACAAGCATCCAATGCTTCGATATGTAGCTTTCATGAGGATTTGCCGATTTGGTATCAATTTCCATTAGGAACTGCCTTATTAGGGATGTTTTCTGAGACATGCACCACTATTACTATTGCAAACCCTAACAAATTTGGGTAGAAACATATTTTATGCAAGCAATCAAATGGAAACACACATACTTGGTCAAAGTTTAATTAGATTTATTTATTTGAATTTATTTAAATTAATTATTTAAATGTTTTTAAATTTAATTTAAATTTAAATTTGTTTCATTTTTTCCCCAGAATTTAATTAAATTTTTAGTCATTTTCACTGAAGAATATAATTTAAATTTGCATTGTTTATATTTTATTTTATTTTCATAATAGGTCATATATACATTATAATATATATAATACATTTGTGGTGATGTGTGTATTATAAACCTGTTTTTAAAAAGACTACTGCAATTTTTGCAATTTTGGTGGTGCAGAAATTAGGTAATCAAATACAGTTATTTTAATATTTTTGACTAGGTAACAGTTACAGTAAAACTTACTGTGATGGTATCAGATTGTAATCCTTGGTACTTTCATATATACCATGCTGTTGTATGTTTTCCATTTACATAACAGGGTTTTTACATGATATTCAAAGGAATACCATAATGAATCATTTCATCATGATGAATGAATTAGCTGAATAACTGTTTTGCCTTATCCTGGCAGTTGGTTTGTGTTCACTGGTAATTTCTCTGTCTTGTTTACACACTCACCTTGTCTCCATGTCTCTGTGTGTTCCCTCGACAGGCGAGGACTTTGCAGTGGTTCAGCAGGAAATAATCATGATGAAAGACTGCAAGCACTCTAACATTGTGGCCTATTTCGGTAGTTACTTAAGGTATAGTAATGACCACTTTCCTGACCACACTTTTACTGTTCTCTGCTTTCTCCTTCACTTACTCCTCCTTTCATTCTCTCTCCTCCTGTTCTGTCAGTTCCTATTCCTGTCTAAGGTTGTTGAGTTGACACTGCGCTCTGTTGGTTGGGTCTCTCAGCTGCACTGCAGGAACAGCCATTGTGACTGCAGCACCTCTGTTTCTGCTAATTGTACAACCTGTGCTTTCCGGCCAGGTTTAGACCTAACTAGATATTCCAAGATTGGGGTATCAAGCAAGGGTGTAGATCTTTGATCATAGGTGCAACAGGACTTTATGATGCTTTCTTAAAGTTTGGTGGTACATGATACCGTCATTGCCCACCATGGATGTACAATTTAATAGTTTCAAGGCTAGAAAGGAAGAGGTGATACGTTAACTTTGAAGCACTTTTTTAGATGTAAAGTCCAGCTGTAAAAAAAAGATTGTAAATGTTTTTAATGAAAAACGTTTCAAAACGTTGGTTGTTAGGACATTTTTTTAAGAATTGTTGTTGTTGTTTTTTTTGCTTCAGTAGAATGTTAAGCTACAGTGATAAAAAATCATCCTCATCCTCAGTTTGTAGAACAATAAAAAAAAAATAGTGTTTATGTTGATGCACTAACAATGAAGGTCTGTGGGGCTAGAAGTTCTGGAAGATTTATAAACAGAAATGTGAAGGTTGTAAGGTTTTCTGGGTAACTTACAGTAGTCTCTTGTAAACATGTTGAACCTAATGTTAAAGGGGTCATATGATGCTGCTAAAAAGAACATTATTTTGTGTATTTGGTCTAATGAAATGTGTTTATGTGGTTTAAGGTTTAAAAAACACATTATTTTCCACATACTTTACATTATTGTTTCTCCTCTATGCCCTGCCTTTCTGAAACTCGTAGATTTTTACAAAGCTCATCGGTCTGAAAAAGCGAGGTATGCTCTGATTGGCCAGCTATCCAGTGTGTTGTGATTGGCCGGATTCCTCAAGCGTGTGACAGAAATGTTACGTCCTTCACCATATTGTGAAACCACATGTGACGACCCCGGGCTGGCGACCCCGGCGATCGACAGCACGAAGTTGAAGTACTTCCTCAGCGACCAGCACGGATCAGCTCTAAGCATGAAGAAGTGATATCATCCTCTTTTGGAAGGCCAAACAAAGTAGTTTCGCTTTCACAACGAAGCACACAGCGCCTTCACGACATGGCGGCGGCAACAATACTACAGCGAGAATAAAAGTTACGCCTTCTTTCTTTGCGTGAACATTTGGGCGGCGTTATGCAAATCTTCCCAGATAGTGACGTAGACATGTGGGGGCGTGTTAGAACGAGCCGTTTTAGGTAGGCGTGGCTGACTCTTAACTTTTATAAAGAATATCTCTTTGGATTTGAGACTTTAGTCTTTCCAACTTTACAGATCTTCTTTATGCACCAAGAGCTTGTAACACTGAAAGAAAGGAAAAATTTTAATCGCATCATATGACCCCTTTAAGACCTTTTGGTTATTCTGTGGCATTAAATTGTGCATTTATCCTTGTACATTGTCTCATATTTGTTGTTACAAACTGAGGGAAACATTTTTTCTGTGGGAATCAGCAGCATATACAGGTGTATCTCAATAAATTAGAATGTCGTGAAAAAGTTAATTTATTTCAGTAATTCAACTCAAATTGTGAAACTTGTGTATTAAATAAATTCAATGCACACAGACTGAAGTAGTTTAAGTCTTTGGTTCTTTTAATTGTAATGATTTTGGCTCACATTTAACAAAAACCCACCAATTCACTATCTCAATTAGAATGTGGAGATACTATATGTAAAACTAATGTAATATTTCATAATATTACAGTTCTTTTGATCAAATAGATGTAGCCTTGGTGAGCATAAGAAAATAAAAAATATATAATAATAATCAATAAATAATAAATAAATAAATCTAACTGACCCCAAACACAAACATTTGAACATATGTACAGTATATACAGTTGTGGTCAAAATGTTACATGCACTTTGCAGAATCTGCAAAATTTTAATTATTTTACCAAAATAAGAGTGATCATACAAAATGCATGTTATTTTGTTATTTAGTACTGACCTGAATAAGATATTTCACATAAAATACATTTATATAGTCAACATATATACATACATATAGTCAACAAGAGAAAATAATAGTTGAATTTATAAAAATGACCCCGGTTCAAAAGTTTACATACGCTTGATTTTTAATACTGTGTTGTTACCTGGATGCTCCACAGCTGTTTTTTTGTTTTGTTATAGTTGATCATGAGTCCCTTGTTTGACCTGAACAGTTTAACTGCCCGATGTTCTTCAGAAAAATCCTTCAGGTCCCACAAATTCTTTGTTTTCCAGCATCTTTTGCGTATTTGAACCCTTTCCAACAATGATTATATGATTTTTTTGAGACTCATACGCAACTATTACAAAAGGTTCAAATGGTCACTGATGCTCCAGAAATGAAAAACAATGCATATATACTATATATATATATATATATATATATATATAGTGGGTACGGAAAGTATTCAGGCATCTCTGGAGAGACCTAAAAATGGCTGTCCACCAACGTTTACCATCTAACCTGACAGAACTGGAGAGGATCTGCAAGGAACAATGGCAGAGGATCCCCAAATCCAGGTGTGAAAAACTTGTTGCATCTTTCCCAAAAAGACTCATGGCTGTATTAGATCAAAAGGGTGCTTCTACTAAATACTGAGCAAAGGGTCTGAATACTTAGGACCATGTGAAATTTCAGTTTTTCTTTTTTAATAAATCTGCAAAAATGTCAACAATGCTGTGTTTTTCTGTCAATATGGGGTGCTGTGTGTACATTAATGAGGAAAAAAAATGAACTTAAATGATTTTAGCAAATGGCTGCAATATAACAAAGAGTGACAAATTTAAGGGGGTCTGAATACTTTCCGTACCCACTGTATATATATATATACTTACATATACATACATACATATATATATATTTTGAAGTTTGGATCTAATAGCATCTAGCGTCTAAAACTTCACTTAAATTCCCTAGTTTCAAAGAATATTATTCTGGTCTTCCTCATAGCTATAGGCAACTCTAGTGTGGTTTGTCTCTGGTCAGAAGTATATCTCTTTAATATTAGTCTAGACTCTAGACATTAGTGCAAGGCACCTTACAGAAATTGAGAAGGCTGTTTTTGATAAAAGCAGGTTGCTTGTGACTTATGACTCTGTCTCCAGCTTGCTGTGTCATGAGTCATGACCCAGAAAAGTGTGCATCCTTTCACTCTCCCTGTGGGGCTGCCAGGGGACTATTTCGAGACGCATCGATTGAAATATAATTTGTTGGTGTTTTTCTTTCTCTGGCTTTTCAGGAGGGATAAATTATGGATATGTATGGAATACTGTGGGGGAGGTTCATTGCAAGACATATATCACGGTAAGATACACCATATAAAGGTAAACAATCAACTGCAACACTAACTCCAACTCACTCAGTGGACAGTATTTCAATGCAATGCAATATCTCCTTTCCATTCATTATTTAAAGGAATAGTTCACCCAGAAATGAAAATTCTGTCATAATTTGTTGTTCAACACCTTATGAGTATATTTCTTTTGTAAAACACAAAATAATTCATTTTTAAGAATTTTATTGGTCAATTGTCTTTCAATGCAATTCTTTTCCATGAGGCTTTCGAACTTCCAAAAGTGATCCATATGACCTTTGGAGTCAAATAACAAACTGTTCAGAATGTCTCCTTGTGTTCCATGTAAGAAAGAAAGTCTGAAATGACATGACGTGAGTAAATAATCACATAATGCTTTGAAAAAAGTTCCGATGCCAATTTTTACATAAATAGGCTTTTCTCTTTTCCAATTAACAATTTGATTCTTGACAGATGGCCTAAATATACAAATCTTTTCTCACGCTGTTAGAAAGTGTCCCTCTGTATGTTCCCAGAGTGGCCCTGTCAGATCATTAGAGCTCATTTTCACGGCAGCTGTCGGCAGTTCTGCGGTTCTCTCCGGGTGGGGGTTGCTGTTAGAAAGTGTCCCTCTGTATGTTCCCAGGAGATAAATTTAGCAGAGCTCAGTAGAGTGGCCCTGTCAGATCATTAGAGCTCATTTTCACGGCAGCTGTCGGCAGTTCTGCGGTTCTCTCCGGGTGGGGGTTGTGCTTTGGGGGGTAGATGGTGTTACGGTGCTAACATATTAGCTTAGTGCCCAGCCCCACATCCCACGTTATCAACCCCCTGCTGACACGGCTGCGCTCAGCTACAGGGTCGAAGGCCAGATTAGATTAGATTAGAGCCGAGGCTGACCGACTGCAGTCCTCCCACACACGACAGATAGAGAAAGACACAAGAGAGACATGAACAAAGTTTTGCCAGCTTTAACTCTAAATAACTCTCTGAACTAGTAAATGATCAGGAAAAAACATTGTGAGGTGCAACAGTGGACATACTGGAAATTTCTGCTGAATGGATGAAAGCCTCTACAGCTGTGTGGATGTAAATAGAGAAGAAGAAAAAAACATAGTCTTAAATACATTCTTTATGTATAATCTATATGTATTTTTGGAATACACTATTGCTCAAAAGTTTGGGGTCAGAATGTTTTGTTTGTTTTTTTTGGAAGAAATTAATACTTTTATTAAGCAAAAGATGCATTAAATTAATCAAAAGTCACAGTAAAGGCAGTTATTATGTTATAAAAGATTTCTGTTTAAAATGAAAGCTGTTCTTTTGAACTTTCTATTCATTAAAGAATCCTGAAAAAATGTAAAAAAAAAAAAAAAAAAAAAAGGTTTCTACAAAAATATTAAGCACCACAACTGTTTTCAACATTGATAATAATAAGAAATGTTTCTTAAGCAGCAAATCAGCATATTAGAATGATTTCTAAAGGATCATGTGACACTGAAGACTGGCGTAATGATGCTGAAGATTCAGCTTTGCCATCACTGGAATAAATTACAATTTAAAATACAACAAAATAGAAAAGAGTTATTTTAAATTGAAAAAATATTTCACAATATTACAGTTTTACTGTATTTGTAATCAAACAAATGCAGCCTTGGTGAGCATAAGAGACTTCTTTCAAAAACATTTAAAAAAATCTTACCAACCCCAACATTTGAACAGTAGTGTAATTCTTTTAAATCTTAAATTTTTTCTTCTCTTTCTATTTAATCTTTTAAATCTCTTCTAAATCTTTTCTTAACATGAAAATAAATACAGTGGGGCAAAAAAGTATTTAGTCAGCCACCAATTGTGCAAGTTCTCCCACTTAAAAAGATGAGAGAGGCCTGTAATTTTCATCATAGGTATACCTCAACTATGAGAGACAAAATGAGAAAAAAAATCCAGAAAATCACATTGTAGGATTTTTAAAGAATTAATTGGTAAATTCCTCGGTAAAATAAGTATTTGGTCACCTACAAACAAGCAAGATTTCTGGCTCTCACAGACCTGTAACTTCTTATTTAAGAGGCTCCTCTGTCCTCCACACGTTACCTGTATTAATGGTATCTGTTTGAACTCGTTATCAGTATAAAAGACACCAGTCCACAACCTCAAACAGTCACACTCCAAACTCCACCATGGCCAAGACCAAAGAGCTGTCAAAGGACACCAGAAACAAAATTGTAGACCTGCACCAGGCTGGGAAGACTGAATCTGCAATAGGGAAGCAGCTTGGTGTGAAGAAATCAACTGTGGGAGCAATTATTAGAAAATGGAAGACACACAAGACCACTGATAATCTCCCTCGATCTGGGACTCCACGCAAGATCTCACCCCGTGGGGTCAAAATGATCACAAGAACTGTGAGCAAAAATCCCAGAACCACACGGAGGGACCTAGTGAATGACCTGCAGAGAGCTGGGACCAAAGTAACAAAGGCTACCATCAGTAACACACTGCACCGCCAGGGACTCAAATCCTGCAGTGACAGACGTGTCCCCCTGCTTAAGCCAGTACATGTCCAGGCCCGTCTGAAGTTTGCTAGAGAGCATTTGGATGATCCAGAAGAGGATTGGGAGAATGTCATATGGTCAGATGAAACCAAAATAGAACTTTTTGGTAAAAACTCAACTTGAGGAGAAAGAATGCTGAGTTGCATCCAAAGAACACCATACCTACTGTGAAGCATGGGGGTGGAAACATCATGCTTTGGGGCTGTTTTTCTGCAAAGGGACCAGGACGACTGATCCGTGTAAACGAAAGAATGAATGGGGCCATATATCGTGAGATTTTGAGTGAAAACCTCCTTCCATCAGCAAGGGCATTGAAGATGAAACATGGCTGGGTCTTTCAGCATGACAATGATCCCAAACACACCACCCGGGCAACGAAGGAGAGGCTTCGTAAGAAGCATTTCATTGACAGATGGCCTAAATATACAAATCTTTTCTCACGCTGTTAGAAAGTGTCCCTCTGTATGTTCCCAGAGTGGCCCTGTCAGATCATTAGAGCTCATTTTCACGGCAGCTGTCGGCAGTTCTGCGGTTCTCTCCGGGTGGGGGTTGTGCTTTGGGGGGTAGATGGTGTTACGGTGCTAACATATTAGCTTAGTGCCCAGCCCCACATCCCACGTTATCAACCCCCTGCTGACACGGCTGCGCTCAGCTACAGGGTCGAAGGCCAGATTAGATTAGATTAGAGCCGAGGCTGACCGACTGCAGTCCTCCCACACACGACAGATAGAGAAAGACACAAGAGAGACATGAACAAAGTTTTGCCAGCTTTAACTCTAAATAACTCTCTGAACTAGTAAATGATCAGGAAAAAACATTGTGAGGTGCAACAGTGGACATACTGGAAATTTCTGCTGAATGGATGAAAGCCTCTACAGCTGTGTGGATGTAAATAGAGAAGAAAAAAAAAACATAGTCTTAAATACATTCTTTATGTATAATCTATATGTATTTTTGGAATACACTATTGCTCAAAAGTTTGGGGTCAGAATGTTTTGTTTGTTTTTTTTGGAAGAAATTAATACTTTTATTAAGCAAAAGATGCATTAAATTAATCAAAAGTCACAGTAAAGGCAGTTATTATGTTATAAAAGATTTCTGTTTAAAATGAAAGCTGTTCTTTTGAACTTTCTATTCATTAAAGAATCCTGAAAAAATGTAAAAAAAAAAAAAAAAAAAAAAGGTTTCTACAAAAATATTAAGCACCACAACTGTTTTCAACATTGATAATAATAAGAAATGTTTCTTAAGCAGCAAATCAGCATATTAGAATGATTTCTAAAGGATCATGTGACACTGAAGACTGGCGTAATGATGCTGAAGATTCAGCTTTGCCATCACTGGAATAAATTACAATTTAAAATACAACAAAATAGAAAAGAGTTATTTTAAATTGAAAAAATATTTCACAATATTACAGTTTTACTGTATTTGTAATCAAACAAATGCAGCCTTGGTGAGCATAAGAGACTTCTTTCAAAAACATTTAAAAAAATCTTACCAACCCCAACATTTGAACAGTAGTGTAATTCTTTTAAATCTTAAATTTTTTCTTCTCTTTCTATTTAATCTTTTAAATCTCTTCTAAATCTTTTCTTAACATGAAAATAAATACAGTGGGGCAAAAAAGTATTTAGTCAGCCACCAATTGTGCAAGTTCTCCCACTTAAAAAGATGAGAGAGGATTCAATTTGATGCTCGCTATTAAGAAAAGCTTTTTTAAAAACAAACTTGCACAGAAACAACTTTCCTTTTCAGATGACATCGCGCCCTCTTATTTTTCAACCCATTGGAAATGCATCGCATTTCAAAAGTAAAATGGGTTGTGGACACCATTTCATAATTTAAGCCTGTCTCTTCCTCTCTCTTTCTTCAGCCCATTTATTATTCACTCCTTCCCATTAGCACATTTTCTGTTTTTGTGACATTTTAATCAGCAATAAAAGTCTCTATTGACTTAAAGAAGATTAGCTGCTCTGCTGAAGTGTCAGAGGCTTCGAACCGTCAAACATCCTGCATCGTTTCGGAGAACAGACAAATGAGTTTCTCAGACCCTCTCAGACAGCTTTTGAGTTTTCTTTAGTAAAGTTTAAAGTCTGTTTTTTCATCAGTAGTCCATTTAGAATAATTCAGCTCTATATTTTGTCAGGTTGGACATGCAATCAGTAACAATGTTCCTTGCATTCTTGATCATCTTGTCCTTGTTCTGCTGGGTAAAACCCATTAGTAGTGCTTTTGTTAATCTTTCTTTCCAATACGGCATGGGAAGTATCGATGTTATATGTGTTCTCTTGATTTAAACAAGTTTAAGCTTAAACCGAATGTGCTGAAGTTATTTATACCTCATTTTCAACTGATGTATACACACTTTTATATTGTAGACAGCTCCATTACATTCAAGCTGTTTTGCTAATATTCTAATATGAATGTTTTTTTTTATTATATTACTGCTAATGTACACTAAATACTGTATGTCTCCACAGTTACTGGGCCACTAACAGAATCACAGATAGCATATGTAACAAGAGAAACCCTTCAGGTAAGCCATTTTACTGGACTGTGTTTTGACAACCAAAGCAATCTGCTATGACCATGAAAGTTGCTTTTGAATTTTTAATGGTCGACATGTTGACAGATACTCCATTTCTCCCTGTTCTATCTATAAAAGCAGTTTGTAAATATGTTTTTGAGATGATTATGAATTAAATTGAGTTTTTAATATATATTTTTTCCTTTAAGGGTTTATATTACCTACACAACAAAGGAAAGATGCACCGAGACATAAAGGTACCGTCATTTATTTCTGATTTATTCTAGTTTTTGTGTGTCTTAAATAAAAGGTTCTTGGGGCAAGGAATTGATTGGTTTTAATTGTGTTCACGTGCCGAGAAAAAGTTAAGTGACAGCACCTAAACCCCTCCTGGTATGTCTATCAGCCATATAAATCACTACCTTTATCCAGGGAGAATTTTTAGCAAAAATCTAGTGTATGTTTTACCTTGCAAAGAACAACTGCAAGGCAGATCAATCATTATTTTTTGTTGCTGATGGCACAGAAATTACACACATTATTTTTAGGAAATCATTCCTTTAACAATTCTGTCATTATTTTGCGATTATGTATGGTGCCACTAGTGGTGCAGAAAATACACACTTCACCATTAGTTAGCTGTTTTATGTTGTTATGTTTTAATAAAGACATAATAAAGCATATACATACAGTATTTGAAACATTCCCTCTTCTGAATATGAAATAATTCGCAATATATTTGAAATACACTACCGTTCAAAAGTTTGGGTTTAGAAAGATTTTTTAAATGTTTTAGAAATAAGTCTATCATGCCCATCAAAGCTGCAATTATTTGATCAAAAACACAGTGAAAACAGTAGTATTGTGAAATATTATTACAATTTTAATGTGTGATACTTTTTTCAGGATTCTTTGATGAATAGAAAGTTCAAAAGAACAGCATTGATTTGAAATAGAAATCTTTTGTAACATCAGAAATGTCCTTACTGTCATGTTTGATCAGTTTAATGTGTCCTTGCTGAATAAAAGAAAAGTTTGAGCAGTGAATAAGAACTAAGTGCTCCTTACCTGTAAAATTCTTGTATTTCAGCTGTGTACAGGCCCCGATATACTTCAAACGAAGTTCGTTTTCGTTGTTCGTTTGGGAGCAAAAAGAAGTTCGAAAAGGCTGAGCGACGGTTTCTGAACTTTGCCGTCAGCATTCCGCAAATACGCATTTATATAATTTAAACAAATCTTTGAATGACTAATGAACATTTAATTTCACAAACCTTGCAGACTTAGTCGAATCTAGTTGAGATCTTGTGAAGTGTGCATGTGACCTGCATGATCGTGTGTTCTGTGACAGTCGGTCCTATGGTCCGTGCGAATTGAATGCGGACAGGTGGAGAGTTCAGCTTCACTGGAGACACGCGATCGACAAACTTTAAAATCGTGACTGATTTCAAATTATGCTGCGCTTTATGCATTTGCCCACTGTCATATTCATGTAATTTTCACTGTGTGCTGTATGTAAAATGAGTGTTACCTTGGCTTTATTTAAAAATATGATATGATATATGATTCCCAATGCACACAAACTTCCCAGAATACTGAGTGCCCTGTTGGTTTCAGTGTTTACATCCTTTTTAATTATATTTGTATTAAATATTTATTTGTGAAAAATACTTTGTCTTCTAGAGTATAAGTATGTTTATTTTACACGTTTATTTTTTAATCCATTTTCAAATGATTTCAAATTTCTTAAATATGAATTAAAATAAATAAAATGATATCGGCTTTATATCGGCCATTGGCCACCCTGCTTTCCAAGATATCGGTATCGGCTGTCAAATAACCCATATCGGTCGACCTGATCGGAAAACTTGTCTCGGATGTTTCTCTACGTCGCTTTTTGCATAACTCGGGGTCGTCGACATCAAGCTTCGTTGCCATTTCTTTCTAGGAATTAAATGCTTTATCTGAATCTTTAAAGTCTCTCCACGAGCGATTGTACAGGTGCGGATATATTTGTGCCAGCTGAGCTATTCGACACTCCAGTGTGTTCATGTTGCTAGTGACTAGGAGATGTTGTTCTCCTGTCGGACCTCCGTGGAATGAGAAACGAACCTGGGGAAAAAAATCGCACATCAAAGAAGGTGGAGTTTCAGAACACACCCACCGTCTGCGTAACCGCCACGGACCAATGGAAGCTCAAAGGTGTTTAGGAGCCAAAACGAACTCCCCCAGAAAGTTCGCTTTGGTCTGCTGTTTCGAACTGTCGAAACTAACTCAAAACAAACGTCGTTTCGGCCTGATTTTGTTTGAAATTACGTCATATCAGTTCGTTCTTCGATTTCATTTGAAGTATATCGAGGCCTTATCTTAGCGGTTTACAAAATACCCTTGATGGTGATTTGGTGAAGCCAAAATGTGAAGCTAAAGCCAAATCACTGGTAAAGCAAGAGAAAATGTGTTACCTGGCCAGAGGGATGTGTAATTAGAATGACTCAGATGGTGCTTTCACATCTCGGATCATGCATGAAAGCAGGTGTTGAAAAAGCGATTTTATAAGGGGGAAAAAGAGATTCTGGAGTCTGTCAGATTCATTTTTACATTTCATCTCACAAATTTACCAGTAGGCCTAATACATTCAATAATGTCTTATAATAGTTGTTCTACTCTTACAGTGTAATTTCATTCGATGTTGTTTTTTATTTGAAATAGGGTGCCAATATTTTATTGACGGACAATGGTTACATCAAGCTAGGTAAGAAGATAACAGACTGTCTTTCTGTTTTGTTCAGTTTTAAAAATAAGGTTAATTACCATGTTACCAACTCAAATCATTAAAACAGTGTAAATAGTGTTTTGGTGACTGAAAATACCACCTCATGTTGTCACATTCGATCTGCTGTGGCATTAGACAAGTCTCAAATTTCATAATTCATAAGACAGAATAATACGCATGGTAGTGTCAGCTGTACACTCATATGAGAGTTGTTTGTGGGATTGTAGTAAAGATCTTTTGTTTCTTTTCCTCTGCAGCTGATTTTGGTGTATCTGCACAGATCACAGCAACACTAGCTAAAAGAAAATCCTTCATCGGGACTCCTTATTGGTATACAGCAGTTTTTTTTCTAGCTTTATTGTGCCACAAGCACACCTTACAATTATACATGAGTGCAATACATTATAATAAAAATGCATCGTTCTTTATAATTATTATGAATGCAGTTTCTGTGACCATTTTTTTGAGTATTTTTTCTTTTTAAAACTTATTTTTTTCACACTGAAGGACTATTTAAATAACCAAAACAACAACAACAAAAGGGTATTTAAAATAGTCAGTTGAAAAAAAAGTTACTAGTTGTAAATTCTTTACGTTATACAGTAATATAAATTTTAACCTCATATCCTGATGTTGAATATTTAAAAAATCCCATATTATTTGTCAAATACCCAAAATGATTGTACTGTTGTGGTGTTTAAAAAAAACAAACATAATTCATCTTTTATAATTCAGCAGTTTTCTACAAGGCCACAGATGCCTTTTTCACATCTTACATAACCATCAGGTAGGATATGTTCATGAATGAGTGATGTTATGGTCTATAACCCACGTTAACAGGATGGCCCCAGAGGTGGCCGCCGTGGAAAGGAAAGGAGGATACAATCACCTGTGTGACATCTGGGCTGTGGGCATCACCGCCATTGAACTAGCTGAACTGCAACCTCCCATGTTTGACCTTCATCCAATGAGGTGAGGGTTTAAACAGCAGTATGGATCTGTTCCAATTCAGAGAGTGATGAATTTATAGCTTTATCCTCACCAAAAAAATAAATAAAAGTATAGTGATGGCAGTAAATACAATGGTATTTTGAGCTTTACCACAGGTCTGTTTTAGTTGAAAATATTTCCACACTCTCATTTGACTCAAACAATGATTGTTTGGGAAAACAGTTGTTTTCAGCATTCTCTTATTTATAATAATTGTACAAAATGAACCTACTTCAGGATAAGACCTCCCAACTCCAGCTACTGTATAGAACACTGGGCAGTGAAACTATATCAATGTTTCAATAAGTTAAAATGTTTTAATTTACCATATTTCATTGCAAAACCAAGCTGTTTTGTTTGCTTGTGCCAATACCAACCCATTTTTGTCCCTCCAGGGCTCTGTTTTTGATGACGAAAAGCAACTTTCAACCCCCCAAATTAAAAGACAAAGTTAAATGGTAAGTGATAATTACGTTTTCAGGCAATTATTAGGATACCTGGGTGAATAAAGTCCTTGATACTAACAGGGATTTCAGTGTCAGTCTGTGGTTGATTCCTTAATTTCATGAATCTTCTATGAAATTTGGGCCAATCACTCTCATTTGCCCTAAACAGTTGCTTTTATGAGTTTTGATAAGGTCAGACTTAACATTCTCTTATCTTGTCTGATTATGAATCTGGTCAGGTCGTCTGCAGAGTAGTTTCTTCTCCATTACCTTGCAGCTCAGTTCAATCAAATTAGCTTAATTACATTTAGAGCTACCAAACTGCACGTCCTCACGGTCGAAATGCTCCTTACATGTGAGATTTATGGAGACTCTTCTTTATGTTCTGAAGGACCAACAATTTCCACAATTTTGTGAAGCTGGCTTTGACGAAAAATCCGAAGAAACGGCCACCAGCTGACAAGTTATTGCAGGTAGGAGGGGCTTTTTTGCATCTTGTAATTTTTAGGTTCATAATGTTTGCTTTTGTGATTTTATATAATATTATTGGTTTTGATTTTGAAGTACGTTTATTTATTTTATAATCAATTATATTTTATAATGATATAAAATATTTGTAATTATTATTATATCAAATGCATAACATTTTATTAAGGCTCTTTTATTTTTACATAATTTCATATAATGCTTTTCATTTTAAATGTTTTGAATTACAATTGTTATATTTTGTTTATTATTTATTATGTATTTTTATGTATAATTATTATATATATCTATATATATATATATATATATATATATATATATAATTATTATTTTTTATAATTTAAGGCAAAAGTATAATTTTATACATTTGATCATTTATAATTTTATTTTTTTATATATATTTCAAGACTCTTTACTGACAAATTACATACATTTAAAGAAAATCTAACATTGCCATTTCAACCATCTACTCCCTAGCATCCCTTTGTATCCCAACCGTTAAGTCGTATTTTGGCAATTGAGCTGCTGGATAAAGTGAACAACCCTGACAGCTCGTCCTACACAGACCTGGATGATGACGACCCAGAGCCGGAGGTACAGTATATCTCCCTGTGTGATTCTCAGTGTTATCACCGATATCACTTCAAGAATGACAGCCCCTTCGGGACTATTATTCACAAACAGAGCCCAGAAAATGCCAGCTACGAGCCGGGATGTCAGTTTAACGAGCCCCATGAGTTTATATATTCAGTATGTCGACCCTTTTATTGTGAGGTGATATTTTTCAATAGCTTACTTTCTTCATTATTAGCCTGTAATAGCTGTTTTAACGGCAGTCATTCGTTTCGATTGTCTCTAAAGTTTATACGCCAGCGTCTCATCCGGTTGTGCTGCAGGGCTACTTCTGCTGATAAAGATTTGTGAAATCTTTCACAGTTCCCCAGCGAGAATGAAGAGTTTTTAAAGGACGTAGTTTTCCTTCATTTCAACTCTCCCTGTTATACCCATTTCCCCAAGCATCCATTCATTCTCACTTCCTCTCTTATTCATTTTCCCCCTCTCCTGCTCTTGAAGTTTAAATACAGAGGGTTGTTTTTACCAGTCTCTCCTCTCTCCCGGCGAGTCCTTCGCTTTGCAGCTCGCAGAAAGGTATCAGGGGTGTGCGTGTGTGTGTGTGAACATCTGGAAATGTTTTGATTAATAAGTGTTAATTTAGTGGTGATGACTACATTATGATTTGGTGTTATGAGTGTTGTGTTCATTTATTTTCTCTCTTTTTATCATTTTTGTTCAGAAGTGTTTATAACCTAGACAAACATGTTTGTGCATGACGTGTGTTTTCTTGTTTGCTCGAGTAGTTGTGAGGTCAAATTTGTGTGTGTGTGTGTTGCGCAGGTATGCCCAAGGATGTTTTAGGAAGTTTTGCACTCTTGACGGATTTTTGATCGGAATGCTGATCCCTCAAGGGGTCGTTTTTGGAAACGGAAGCTCAGTTCAAAAGCCAGATTTGGATCCGTTGACAACAGATTTTTGTCTGGCCTCTTTGTGCTGAGGTTTGCTTCAAGGGTTTAACAGAACATCAATATCAAAGAGCTTTTAGAAAATGCGTCATTGAATGCAAATAATGTTCAATATTGGGGTGAATCTCGTGAAAACCTGTCAAGAGCATGTCAAGGTCGTATTTAATCCATAAATATAAAGAAAATAATAATAAATGACATTTTTCACAATGAAATTGAAGTTTATTTATTTATAGACCAATTTTTTTTTTTATTATTATTGTTTTATTTTTGAGTTTGTTTGTAATTCTCATTATTTTCATTGAATCTCATTTTGTAAAATATTTATGAATTATGTGTAGTCACTAAAATAAAAAATCACTAATTTAAATCAGCTAAAGGTAAAGACAATACAACAAAAATAAATATAATATAAATATTTTTTAAATACTGACTGAAATTGATTATTTTAAATAAAATCTTTGTTAATTTGTATGTTCTTTTTTTCCTCTTTGATTTTCTTTTGTAACCTGTCAAGGCAATGTCAAGGTCATATTTAAAAATAAGCAATTCAATTTTATATTATGTATAATGATGTAAAGTTTATTTTTAGGACCACCTTTGAGTTTATAATTCTTGTTATTTTCATAGAACATTCTCATTTTGTAATATATTAATAAGAATCATGTCTGGACACAGTATTTTTTTGTAAATCACAATAATTTAAAATCAGCCTAAATTAAAGAACAAATAAGCAAACAAATAAAAAATACTTCACAGTTGAAATTTTAGCCCTATACATCATAAAAATGTATATGTTTTATAATTTTTTTTTATTTTTATGTTTTTGGTTTAATTGAAATATAACCCAAACATGTTCTTGACTGGTTTTTATTTATTTATTTATTTATTTATAAAGTTAATATTCCAGATTGATATGCTTGTGTATCTTTTTTGGAAAGCATAAATAATATCTTTTAGTGACTGTACCATGTGACCCAAGTGCTAAGAGGTGTGATAGAATATTCACAGGCGTCCGCTGAGAGAAGGGCGCAGTGTTTGGCATGCTGTCTATTTCTATTTCAGAGCCCTGCTGTGTCCTTGTTGTCTGAAGGTCGTGCGTCTGTTCTTCTGTCTTATCTCTCCTCATCACATCTACTTCAGCTCTGTCGCTTTGAAACTGAAGTGAAGGATGTCCTTCAGTGTCCATTTTGCTTCCTGGACCTGTTCAGGATTCACATGTCTGCGTGTGTTTATGTGTGGTGCTTTTGCACGCGTTTCCATATCCACAGGCATGTGTGCGTCTGTGCTTGTGTGTATGTTGCTGATGGAAGGTGTTCTCTGATTCGTAAATGACAGCAAACTTCTCACCGTAGTCATCAGGGACCCAGCTGTCAGACGCCCTGTAGGCCGTAATGATTTTCTCTTAGGCTGCAGTGAGACAGGACAGCAGCATCAGACAGATAGGGATTCAGAGGGTCAGCATCATGACCCCTGCTGTTATCAGAGAGTGATGCCTGGCATGTATTTTTAGCTTCCAGAGTTTGCCCTCCACTGAGTCTCTGGCGATGGCACTAAGTGATATCTGAAGTGTAAGCATTTAAGCCGCTCTTGTCTTAAACGTATTGATGGGTGCTGATTTTGCTGACGGGTTGGTTTGATCTCAACTGGGCCTCTGATCTGCTAAGAATGGCGCACTAATATGCAAGCTATTGATTGAGCACAGCTACAATCTTACGTTTTTTGGTTTAATGTTGTTTACATATAAAAGTGATCGACCGATCCTGGGGTTTTCCAGTAACCAACGCTGATATTTAGAGAGCAGTGTGACCCGATGACCTGCATAATGCATTGGCAAATGAGGCGTACCCAAAATTGCTGGAATTAAAAGTTATAATACATTTAATATAATATCCAATCAAAATTTACAGATTCAAGGGGGAACTGAGTAAAAACCAGTACATGTCGGGGTTATGTATTAATCCAAAATCAAAACAGAACAATAAGAAATTATATTTAGCATATTTTAAGGATCATTAACATTTTGTCAATTGATAATTACACACTTTTTATAATTATCATTGTGAATTAAAAAATATATATAATTTCATGTACATTATTGTCTTAAAAATAATGAAAAAATGTGATGGTCCTTTAAATTAATCAGGTCAAGTATAATTTTAAAAAATGTATATTTGTTTATTTTATAAAATAACGTTTTGAATGAACAGGATAATTTTCATTGCAATGCATTACTGTTGTAAAAAATAGTGGAATAATAATAATAAATATTTTTTTTTTGATTCAAGCATTTCATGTGAGATTTACCAAACTACCACTATGTAGGCCTTCATTTAGGCACGTAAACGGCAAATTACCCCTAAACCTCATTGGTACTCTAAATGACTTGGAGATAGACTTTGTTATTTACTGGTTTGTATTTATTTGTACTCTGTGTGTGTGTGTGATTCTTTTTCTCCCTAGCCTCCAGTGTCTGTTCCACATCGGATTCGCTCAGCAAGCCGTACCAGTCGGGAAGGGAAGACTCTGTCAGAGATTAACTGTGAGTGTTTGTTGGATTTCTCCCCTGGGCAAACCTGACAGGTGCTCCTGTTCTCCTGAGCATGGCTGAGTGAATTTCACAGGATACCTGAAATTCTCTCTCATGATCTGTCTGTCAGTATCTGCTGGGTTTGGGTTAGATTCTGTATCATACCTTCCAGATATGTATGCTGACTTAAAGAAATGTGTGGTTTTGAGTGAACATGCCAACATGATTACTTAAAATTCAGCGTTCAAACACCAGTTATATCAATGAACTGACTGATTGTTAAAATCAAAAGGTAGTTTGCCCAAAAATGAATATTTTGTCAGTATTTACTCACCTTCATGTCATTACAAACTCATGTGCTGATTTATTTCTGTGCAAAAAAGAAAAAGTAGGACTGTTCCTTTAATAATGTTTTTGTTTTCTTACAGTCGGTCAGGTGAAGTTTGACCCTCCTTTAACAACAGAGACAAAACCACATCATGAACCGGTGAGCATCATCTTACTGCTGTTTGGGATTTTCTGTGATTGAAAACAATTATGTGAGATCAACCAATCAGAATACACTTGATGCTTTAGAACATTACATCACACTGGCTCTGTTCCGAAACCTAGGGAGCTTTGTGAGGAATCTCGTAAATTAGAACGCTCCACATAGGCAGCAACACAAACAGCTCAACTCAAAACTGATTTTTGATAGTTTGGTGTTAGCATGTTGCTAAGCTAACAGTCAGTTAAGCATAAAAATGGCACTCATGTCACTCATAATGATATAGATATATATATATATATATATAAAAAAAAGTCATGATTTTTTAAATATAACAGACTTATTATAATAATAAATATAATGATGATGATAAATAATAATAAGAAGCATAAAAACAAACAGAACTCTACAGAACACTAAATAGTCTTTTTATTGATTCAATTTAGTACTAAATAAAAATCTCTTTTATGTATAATCTATATTTTTTGCCTAGTCACCATCTTGTATTTTGTATAGATTTTTTTCTCTAAGCATGTTTCATATTGGCTTCTCAATGAAGCATAAATGCGATGTTGCTTAGAATTTGCTATCTTAGTTTGTCTAAATTAGGATTCTTACCTTTAATAACAGCCTTTGTGTCGGGAGCGTGTCTATGATCCCTCTATAGGGAGCTAACTAGGTTTTGAAACGGAGCAACTGTGGAACCACCCAGTCATGTCAAGCTTCATTTGAAATCACATTGCCTGTCTTGCCATTCACAGTGCTCATAACTGCATATAGTGAACACTTCCAAATGATTTTTCCTATAAGCTGACACTTCCTATTATGTAACATTTTCCTTATGGACACCTCAATCCCAGCTTGTCTCCTGACTGCAGCTTGTTTTCTCTCACACCATGTTTGACTGTTGTGCATTCAGCACTCTCACCACTGTGATAATTGAAAGGTTAGATGCAGCTTTCCATGGCATCTAATCAATAAGACTTCCTTTAAACGCTGCAGAAAAATGCAGCGTTGACTCATCTTTGTCTCATTTGAGCACTCAGATTTTCTCATGTTGTAACTGGATTTGTCATGCTTTTATAAACTAGATCATTTTTTAACAGCAGGACATCAAATTAATGTCGATTCCCATTGTAGCTTCATACTTATGATGTCATCTTCTGAATATAACCTCAGATCTGAAGAACCTCACATCCCCCCCACGCTTTGATTTTCTTTTTATTTTCTGGATTCATATCACGGTGCCCTACTGTTTCTAAAGAAGCAGTACATAATTGCTGCAACTAGCAGGTCTGTAAAGCTGTTATCACATTTGAAACTGTGAACTCAAGCGATAAACAGCATTTTTGTAGATTTCCATCACATTTAAAACAGTCAGAACATGTGTCTACCTAATATATGCTCACCAAGGCTGCATTTGTTTGATCAAAAATACAGTAAAAACAGTAATACTGTGTAATATTATTACTATTTAAAATAACTGTTTTCTTTTTTAATATATTTTAAAATGTAATTTATTCCTGTGATGGCAAAGATGAATTATCAGTAGCCATTACTCTGGTCTTCAGTGTCACATGATCCTTCAGAAATCATCTTTTGTGGAAACTGTGATAATTTGTTTAAGGATTCTTTGATTAATATAAAGTTAAAATATATATGTGTGTGTGTGTGTGTGTGTGTGTGTCAAAAAAGTCATAAGTATATATTTGTCAAAAAGTACTAATAATATATTATAATTGCATTTAGCCAGCAGCCACGGTTATTTAATGCATTGTTTATTTCATGTTATGATCTCTGTAACTTTACTGTAATTGGTTAACCTTCGTCATCATGATATCCCAACACTACTTTTCAGCAATTATGTACTGTCTCTTTAACACACAGGCCTTTTCAAAAACCTATTGAATTCAGGTGGGCATGGCCTTAGCAAACACCTCTTCACCCAGCAACCACCCACCACCCAAACTGCCCGTAACTCTTCACTCTTTGTTTCTTTAAAACCACATGGGCATCACGTGTGTGTGTGTGTGTGTGATTAACTGAAATTTCTTGGTCCTTCTACTAAACAGCCCGACACTGACGATTTTTTGGACTGTGCCGAAGAAATATACTACACTGCAAGATCTAATCTGGTATTTTTTGTTTGTATTTTACTCTATCTTTGTCTTCGCGTCCCCTATCTTTTTTTTTTGGTCTATTCCGTAGCATCTTGTCCGCTTCGCAGCGCTTGTGTAGTGTACTCATCCTCCCATATGTGACTTTCATCTCTTTTGTTCATTTCAGTGCCATTCATTTCACCTTATCTTATTTAGATCATGGCTGTCTGTGTCTTTTCATCTTGCCTGTATATAATATCAGTGTTATTGCCTCTGTCTGTCACGCCGAATCTCTGTACTGGGTCATTTTTTTTTAGGTATTTCAGCCTCTAGCCTAATTTAAAGACACATCCCTCGAAGTCGATATGTTGCTGCACTTTTCAGTAATCAAAAGCACTTTGAAATTGCAAAGCAAAACATTTTATGTAGTCGAGGCCTCTGAGGGGCTTTATTTTTAGGGCTTGTCACAATCAGACATCTTGAAAGTGAGCGAGAGTGAAGGAGAGGGAATGGAGAGAGAGAGATTAGGGTTAGACAGATGGAATGGATGTTGAGTGGGGCGGAGAAGCCGAGCGAATGGGGGAAAAACAAGAAAAGAGAGAGAGAGGGAAAATAAAGAGTCTGAAGTGCCTGTGCATGTCCCATAGGGATGGTTAAACCAAAGTGCTCTGCAGGTCTGTGAGTGAGGGGGAAACATTGCTTCAGCAAGCAACGCTTTGCGCAACAAACCCAGCACACGGTCTGTTTGAGGCATCAGCTCATTCTGCAGCAGGGACACAACCTCACCGCTCCCTTTCAACACCAGTTTATTGTGAACACCTACAGTGCGGAACAATATTTGTGTACTGAATTCCAGTTGGCCCTCTTTTTTACCTCTGTTTGCATACTGAATTGTGATTAGTTTTGAACTGCAAATATTGTGTGTTGGCTTCCATACACCGCTGTCATGAGTGCCAAAGAGGGTCTGATGCATCATTTCATTATCATCAAAGTCTAAAACATCTGATATTGAACGTCTGATCATTTAAAGCCAATATTGTGTTACATGAGAAAAGCATGAAATACATATAACAAAAAGTACTTTTAGAAAGATTTTTTTTTTCATTATATTTTTTGATTTTTGGTTGAACTATCCCTTTAATTAGTTTTTTTTTAATTAATATGTAAATATGAAATTATACTCTAAATAAGAAACTAAAAATGCCAGTAGCTGGCAGTAAATGTTTTAATGAATTAGTCATTCATTCATTAATTCATTCATTTGATTCGTTCAAACGGCTGATTCATTCATGAATGAAGTAAATGGCTTTCTTTATGAATGGGCCATTGATTGATTGTTTCATCCGATTCGTTTAAAATGCAGATTCATTCAGAAATTGTGTGTTGCTTGGAGACGCATGACAGTTTTCTTTGGCTTTAATAGGTAATATTTGCATTGGCAAAACTGAGCAAAAACAGACAATATTGTGTCTAAGATATAACACAATATTAAGCTCTTATTTATTGAACTGTTGTACAAAATCAGTATCACATTTGCACTCATGCTATTTCGGACAAAAACAGCACTTGTGTGATATTGCTTAATGAGACAAAAATTCATATGGGGGCATTTTTGCCCCAATCTCTTCAATGTTAGGGAGATATAACTGCATTCTGTAGGCTACATCACGCAGAGAGTTGTTGTCCTGCATCATATTCGTCACCAATCAACTGTATAGGTGTGTTTGGCTTGAAGCACTGCGCAGACTGATCGGTGTATGACATCAAAGTCCTGCGAGAGCTTGTAGAGAGCAGACATCTCTGCATGCTTTCGAATCCCTCTCACGGTACTTTGATGTCAAACATTGATCGGTCTGCGCACGCCGCTCCAAGTGGAATTAGGGTTGCCAACCATCCCGTATTAGCCTGGACATCCTGTATTTTGGGCCTAATTGATTTGTCCCGTACGTGACTTCCCTTGTCCGTGTTTTCACGTCAGTAAATCAGTTTTAGTGAATACAAACTACGTGATTTGTTTTTCATGAGTCCAACATCCCGCCGCACAAGAGACGTGATCAGTAAGGGAAGTCATCTTTCACTATTGTAATGTTGTTAAATAGAGAAAAACATTTTATATTTAAGTAACTAATAGCATAATTCTTAACCTTGGACCTTATTATTGAAACACAAAATGACCAATAAAAAGGTGTCAAGCACCAAAAGCAGCCCATATTAAATCTATAAGCTGTCTTTAATTGAAAAATACGAATTTTTCATGCATGCTATATGTGTGTGTGTGTGTGTGTGTGTGTGTGTACACGGTCACTCACCCCCCAACAACACCCCCACCCCCCATAAGGTGATTGTCCCATATTTTCATTTTCTGAAGTTGGCAACCCTAAGTGGAACACACCTTATGAAATATACGATGATGTACGTAGGGTGGGGGCGTTAATTGCATTACAGATTTTAACGCATTATTTTTTTCCGTAACTAATTTACTAGATGTCAAATACATTTTTAGTGATATGTTATACAAAGGCAAAAAAGTGCCGAATATACATACATAGACACACTTTTTTGCTTTTTTGTTCATATCAAATCAATTTTAATGATATGTTATATAATGGCAAAATAGTGCCGATTTTTTTTTTTATACCACCCATTTATAAGTTTTATAACAAAAATAATTTGGCATATCGAACTAAGTGGATACTTATGACAAGGCGGATATTTTTGACATTAAATTAGTAGTAGTCATAAGTTGTGGATATTAATTTTAAAAAATGTTTTGGCTTTTTATTAGATTTTGCCATTGGACAGTGACAGGGAAGTTGTGGATAAATATGTTGTATAGTTTGCCAAAAGCCACACGTGGTTACGCCTGTGCAAAGAAATGTTTTTCCCTTTTTCATCTTTTTGCATTTTTGAGGCTTTCTTGAGTGACACCTCATCCATCTGGTCTGTAGCCCACACACTGAGGTGGCACAGCGAATCTCATGCTTGGAATCGGTGTTTTTGACTGCCTATGAAGAAACCAAAGGGAGGGAGATGAAAGAAGACAGTGAGAGAAGCAGTGTAGCAGATAGTCTGGAATGTTCTGTTAGCTTTTACTCTTCCATCCTTTCTCTCTCCATCTCTCTTTCTGAAAAGCCTCCCATCAGCAGAAAAGCAGCAAGCGAATAAGGATATGACAGTTTGCTGTGCAAAGGAAATTTGGTTTGTTAATTTGCAGGGCAAAATCAATGAGGTTTTGCATGGCTGAAAGCTGTATTCCAGAGAGAGAGAGTAAGAGGGAGAAATTGAGCTATAGAGGTATGGAAGCAGCAAGAAGAGAGAGAAAAATTAAAGAAAGAGTTTGAGAGAGAGAATGTCCTCAGAATTAATCATCAGAAACCTGATTATTATAGCAAAATCCTCTGCCAGAACATTTCCTCTAATGGATGAAGCACTGCAGCCAATTTCCCTCAAAGAATAAGACACACTGTTTCCCTTAAAAGAATATTCCAGATTATTTATTAAAAAAAATGTTTTTTGTTACCAGATCTATGATATATTGCGATTACTTTAGTGCATATATCAATTAATTTTTTTTACAAATTTTTTGTAAAACAAATTGCATTATCATAACATTCAGAACCTGATTAATAAATACATAACATTTATACAATTAATAAATGTACATTATACAATAATAAAACATTATAACGGCCCCATATGTGTAGACAAGTAGACAAAAACATTTAAAAATAAATTGTCTTAAAGTTTGTAATAATCTGATTCATAGAAATGTGGCCATTGCAAATGTTTTATTGAGTCTGTAAAAGAATTAGCAAGCAATTTTAAATATATCGAGTCATCTCTTGAAGAATTTGACAATGCTCATAACAGGCTCCTTTTATATTAAAGAGGTATCTCGTGATAAAGTTAAAATGGTGATCACAAACATGAGTAACTCCAAGTTTGAGGACATTCATAACATTCATGCTGCATTAATTAAGAGATATGAAAGCTGTCTGTTGGAGCCAATTACTTATTTAGTAAATTTGTCAATGCAAACAAAATTATTCCCAGAGAGCTGGAAAACAGCAATAATTACGCCTGTCTATAAATCGGGAGATAAGGATATAGCAAGTATAGTATAGCAAAAAGTATAGCAATTATAGGCCTATTGCTATACTTCCTGTAGTCTCAAAAGTTCTGGAGAAGATTGTTGCCGAGCAATTAGTGGAACATTTAGAGTCTAACCAGTTGCTTTATCGACAGCAGTTTGGATTTAGAGACAAATATTCCACTGAAACTGCTATTTGCTTGAAAAAATAAAAGGCTAATTGGATAAAGGGAATGTTGTCGAGGCAGGGTTCTTGGACCTAAAAAAGGCCTTTGACACTGTTAATCACATCATTTTAATAAATCAATTAAATCAATTCAAAATGTCATCAGATGCCATTCAGTGGTTTAGGTCCTATTTGAGTGGAAGACAGCAGTGTGTCAGGGTCAATGGGGTTAAGTCACCTCTGCAGACAAACAACATAGGAGTACCGCAAGGTTCTGTACTTGGCCCTCTGTTGTTTACAATGTACATAAATGACTTGCCAAATTGCTGTCCAGGTGTCGGCTGCCAGATGTATGCTGATGACACTGTCGTCCATATTCTAGATAAGAATTTAAAATTTGATAGTCACATTGAGTACATCTGTAAGAATCTAAATTGTTTTCGTGTTTTTAGAAGGGACTTGTCAGGTCAAACTGCAAAATTATACATGCATGCAATGATTTTTTCACATTTATCATATTGTGTCACATCATAGTCACAAGTCTCTCCAAATAAATTAAAGCCTATTATTTCAATATACAAACAGGCACTAAAAGTTATGGACCAGAAACCCATGAGATGGCATCATTGTGATGTTTTAAGAAAGCATAACCTTCTTAGCTTCGATAGTTTCGTTGATTTTAATTATCTCAAATTGGTTTTTAAATGTCTAAAGAATCATGTTTCACCACTGTTTTCTGAATTGGTCAGTAGGCGTCAGAACTCTCATAGGGCAAACACACGAGCCACTATTAGTGGTGACTGTCTTGTTCCAAAGTATAAGACCTCTTTTGGCCAATCTGCTTTCTCTGCAAAGGGGCCAAAACTCTGGAATGCTTTACCTACTAATTTAAAACTAGAGACCAATGGTAATGCTTTTAACAGAGGACTTAAACAAGGGTTAAAATCCAAACAACAGTGCTCACATGAATAGTTCTTCATACCAAATTATTAGTGCGATATTGTCTGATTATGTTGTTTTTGCTTTATAGCTTATGTAAATAATTTTGAATGTATTGTTCCTTCTTTTTTTTCCCTTTATTTTATTAGTATTGTTATTATTATTTTTATTGTTAACATTGTTGTTGTTGTTATTATTATTATCAGTATTGTTATTGGCTTTTTATTAATTTACTTTTCAATTTTTTTTTTGCTTTCTGAAAATCCTCCCGTGGACTGATGTTGAAAATTAGCATGTGTGCTAAAACACTTAAGCAAGTGCATATGGTTTGTCCAATGTAACTGTGATGTCCATGGTAAATAAAAATTTAATAATAATAATAATAATACTGACATTTTCAATTAAATTAATAATAGTAGTAGTAGTAATAATAATAGGGATAATGATTTTTAGACACTGTTTTATTTTATTCTATTTTATAAAAAATACATGAAAAACGTCTGGTTTTGGTGGGACTTTTCTGGGTTGTCTAACATTATTTGTGACCCTGGACCACAAAACCAGTCTTAAGTGTCAATTTTTGGAAATTGAGATTTATATATCATCTGAAAGCTGAATAAATAAGCTTTCAATTGATGTATGGTCTATTAGGATCGGACAATATTTGGCCAAGATACAACTATTTGAAAATCTGGAATCTGAGGGTGCAAAAAAATCAAAATACTGAGAAAATCGCCTTTAAAGTTGTCCAAACGAAGTTCTTAGCAATGCATATATTACTAATCAAAAATTACTTTTAATATATTTATGGTAGGAAATTTACAAAATATCTTCATGGAACATGATCTTTACTTAATATCCTAATGATTTTTGGCATAAAAGAAAAATCGATAATTTTGACCCATACAATGTTTTTTTGTCTATTGCTACAAATATAACCCAGTGACTTAAGACTGGTTTTGTGGTCCAGGGTCACATTTGTTATTTGTTACTGATATAGGTGTTCGGTCATGCATATACAGGTCACAACCCTTCCATGTCTTTTCCTGGTATTCTCATGCGGATAACAAGTTAAATTAACCTTGTTTACTTTTTCATCTGGTCATGATGTGTGAAATTACATTAGCTCCCCATCCAGCTTCCATTATAAGATTAGATTATTTACTGTAAACATGTTTTCTCCACACACTGAGGGATGTGTTGAAATTATTGTGGTAATCGACAGCATGCCACAGGTAGACATCAGGGCGAAAACAACGTCATATTCCTAAAATATTCCTCACGTTGCACTTTTTCAGTGTCTGAGTTGCTGTATTTAATAGATACTGCCTCTGTTTTATAATTCTATTAATTCATGAACACTAAGCTATTTCAAGTCATTGCCTGCTTGAATGATCATACTGGCAAGTGGGAGGAGAGATAGCATATGGCCCAGTCCTCCCACAATGCTAATTAAGAGTACAATGTTAGGAGAAGTTTGAACTAATTCCTTTCCAGCAATCTTCTGCAGTCAACATGTTTAATTGTATTTCATCACAAAAAGTGAGAATTTAAGTTTTTCAGTATTGAAAAATGACAGTTTGTCTGTCAGTTTGTCTTAATTTTTGCTGTTTTTTGCCCTTTCCTTTTAATTAATGTTTTATTGTACTTAAATTATTTTCATTTCCCCCCCAAAATGATCTGCCATCATTTACTCACCCTCATGTCATATCAAACGTATATGTATTTGTTTTGTTTTTTTCTGCTGAACACAAAAGATGATATTTTGAAAAATGTCTCTGTGTTTTTGTGTATACAAGGAAAGTCAATGTTGATTTGGACCCCATTAACTTTTATTGAATGCAGAAAACATTCTTCAAAATATCTTTTGAGGTTTCAGAGCCCAAAAAGGAAAGCATCTAATGAAAACTGACAAACTAAGAAAAGAAACCAAAGATGATTGTGGCAAGAGCTGTGTGCTTGCTTGCTAATGTAGAGCTAATACACTGTAGATGAATGCTCATCTCATCATCTCTTCCATTGTTTTCACTCACTAATAGACCTTGAAATCTAAAACCATTATGAAACTGCATGTGTGGATTAAATTGTAAACAACACTAGTTATGAACAAATAACCTAGAGTTTATAATTGCTGAATCTGATGTGCCAGCACCATGTCACACCTGTTTTACCATCCATGTTCTCTTTACATGCATCTTTTAACATGTTCATGAATGTAGCCAAAGCTCTGTGTAAACATACCTGCGTCCCACATTTTTTGAATCTCAAGGTAAAGAAATACTCTGTGACATTCTTTCTCTTTGTTTCAGGATTTACAGATGGATTATGAGCAGGAATCCCCTGAAGGCTCCATCCTGGGAGGAAATAAGTAAGTTTTCAGCACAGTTGCAAATTAAATAAAAATTAAGGCAATAAAAATTAAATCCACCTTATAGAGCATAAGTAACATAAAACTTCAATAGCATAAAACTTAAATAACAAAATGTATAAAAAAATGTAAATTAATTTAAAATAATTTTCTGTATATTTTTATATACATGTTATATCTTTTTATGCACTCTGCGGTATCTTTATAGAGCCCTAGAGTCTGAAAACCGCGGGTTTGAGGAAACACTGCATCATCATGTTGTCAGCTTGATGCATTGTATGTTAAGCTGTGTATGTTTTTGTTTCCCTGTATTCATGAGAGAGTTCATTCAGAGGTAAAGACACATGCAGGGTTTGTTCATGATGTGTGTGTGTGTGTTTGTCTATACACCCATTTATCTCACACCTGACATTGCTGTCTCACTAGTGTGGCTCTTTATGTTCCAGGTAGCTTGTGTGGGATCTATATGACTGTTGTTCGTTTATAATGCGCACACCCTGTGCCTTGTTGACAGTTTTTGCCATATAGTGAACAGAAGGTCGAGTACACCAGATGGAGTGGCAGTGAAACCATTCCCTCTGTGTTTGTGTGAGTGCCTGTGCTTGTTCTCAGAGGTGTTGCTCTCAGCTCTCGTCAACAGATGGGTCCCGAGCACTTTCGAGAGACACCCCCTCAGCATCACAATTCACCGTATATGAGCTCTCATCCGCTCCCATTCAGTCATTTTCATGCACGGATGCAGAAATCAGCCTCTGTATGGTTAATGATGGACTCCTTAGCTTAAATAGTGGAATAGTATTGTCAAGATAAATGGTCCAGGTGCCTGTGCTCTTTTGGTTATTGAATGCAATGAAATGAGAAGGCCACTCTTGCCTCCAAGGTAGAAATATAGCTATTTAATGACACATAACACATGTTGCAGTATTTATTTATTTATTTTTGGTTATTTTTTATTCATTTAATTTTTCTGATCATGGTTGTGCTTTATTGTAAATATGGCTAAAGTGCACTCTGCTTTATGAAAATAAATATAGCATACAATAGGCACACAATTTTTTTTTATTTTTTATTAAGCATCATCCCTCTGCTGGAAGATATGGTTTCTAACATGAAAACAATAGGAGTATTTATTCTATGCTATAATTTATGAATCATATATGTTATATTATGTAGTTTTAGTGCAGGTGAAATGTTGTATTGCATTCTACAGTGTTGCAACATTCACTTCAAGAACATTTTTATAATGACAGATACACCATTGATCCATTATACTGCCACCTATAGATGTGGAGGAGACATCATGCAAACATTTTTTGTGTAACTGATACCTTTGTAGAAATACTGGATTCACAGATGTATTTGTCAACCATTATTGATTTTTTTTTTTTTCTAAAAGTGCCTGATAATAAGTTGAACCCACTTTATGTAGAATCAAACAAATGTTTCTAGGTTCTAAAATACTAATATGACTGGAGTCTTCTCCAGTTGAGTGTACATTTTAAAAATATTTTTCAAAAGTTCTACTTTTTTAAAATTGGTAGAAAACTTTAAGAAACAAATACAGTGTACCTTAAATGTAGTGAAAGATTAATTAGCTAGGAATCACAGAAAGAACTCTGTGTTCGGCTTTATCTTTATGGAGAAATCCATCATTGTATTTTCTCTTGCACATGGTGCACAGAAATTAAATTTTCACATCTAAAATTTTGTAAGAACTGCATAATGTGCAACATTTTTCTGTTTCATATCTCTTGTCATTTATGGCCTCGTTCAAACAGCAGCAGAATACGATTGTCAGTCCTGTATTTGAGTCCTTAATACGGTTCCGTTCACACACAGTATGGTTATTTACGGGTGTGACAACCGCATTCTGTAACCGAACTCACACATGTAAATTTTAAGGACTCACAACCGCATTCTCGGAACACACGCGCTGTGTGAACGGAAGAGGACTGGACAACTAGTTGTCTGTCACGTCATACAGTGCGAGAGAGAGCCGTTCTGCAGCATGAATGCAGGTCTACCGCATGTTACGTGTTTTCATGTGTGTTTTCGGTAACTTACAGAGATGGAGAAGTGAGCTGCGTGTCTGTCATCTAAAATTTTTAGATCCAGTCAGTTTTCTACCGAAGCCACTCCCGTCAGTTATTGTGTTCTGCAACTCAAATACTCCGCTCTCCACCCAAATTTAAAGGGGTCATATGATGCTGCTAAAAAGAACATTATTTTGTGTATTTGGTGTAATGAAATGTGTTTAAAAACATTATTTTCCACATACTGTACATTATTGTTTCTCCTCTATGCCCCACCTTTCTGAAACGCGTAGATTTTTTGGTTATTTTTTATTCATTTAATTTTTCTGATCATGGTTGTGCTTTATTGTAAATATGGCTAAAGTGCACTCTGCTTTATGAAAATAAATATAGCATACAATAGGCACACAATTTTTTTTTATTTTTTATTAAGCATCATCCCTCTGCTGGAAGATATGGTTTCTAACATGAAAACAATAGGAGTATTTATTCTATGCTATAATTTATGAATCATATATGTTATATTATGTAGTTTTAGTGCAGGTGAAATGTTGTATTGCATTCTACAGTGTTGCAACATTCACTTCAAGAACATTTTTATAATGACAGATACACCATTGATCCATTATACTGCCACCTATAGATGTGGAGGAGACATCATGCAAACATTTTTTGTGTAACTGATACCTTTGTAGAAATACTGGATTCCCAGATGTATTTGTCAACCATTATTGATTTTTTTTTTTCTTTCTAAAAGTGCCTGATAATAAGTTGAACCCACTTTATGTAGAATCAAACAAATGTTTCTAGGTTCTAAAATACTAATATGACTGGAGTCTTCTCCAGTTGAGTGTACATTTTAAAAATATTTTTCAAAAGTTCTACTTTTTTAAAATTGGTAGAAAACTTTAAGAAACAAATACAGTGTACCTTAAATGTAGTGAAAGATTAATTAGCTAGGAATCACAGAAAGAACTCTGTGTTCGGCTTTATCTTTATGGAGAAATCCATCATTGTATTTTCTCTTGCACATGGTGCACAGAAATTAAATTTTCACATCTAAAATTTTGTAAGAACTGCATAATGTGCAACATTTTTCTGTTTCATATCTCTTGTCATTTATGGCCACGTTCAAACAGCAGCAGAATACGATTGTCAGTCCTGTATTTGAGTCCTTAATACGGTTCCGTTCACACACAGTATGGTTATTTATGGGTGTGACAACCGCATTCTGTAACCGAACTCACACATGTAAATTTTAAGGACTCACAACCGCATTCTCGGAACACACGCGCTGTGTGAACGGAAGAGGACTGGACAACTAGTTGTCTGTCACGTCATACAGTGCGAGAGAGAGCCGTTCTGCAGCATGAATGCAGGTCTACCGCATGTTACGTGTTTTCATGTGTGTTTTCGGTAACTTACAGAGATGGAGAAGTGAGCTGCGTGTCTGTCATCTAAAATTTTTAGATCCAGTCAGTTTTCTACCGAAGCCACTCCCGTCAGTTATTGTGTTCTGCAACTCAAATACTCCGCTCTCCACCCAAATTTAAAGGGGTCATATGATGCTGCTAAAAAGAACATTATTTTGTGTATTTGGTGTAATGAAATGTGTTTAAAAACATTATTTTCCACATACTGTACATTATTGTTTCTCCTCTATGCCCCACCTTTCTGAAACGCGTAGATTTTTACAAAGCTCATTGGTCTGAAAAGCGAGGTGTGCTCTGATTGGCCAGCTATCCAGTGCGTTGTGATTGGCCGAATACCTCAAGCGTGTGACGGAAATGTTACGCCCATACCATATTGTGATGCCCTGTCCGGCCAGCGCGTAACATAAAACCATGTCTGCATTTGTGATCGGAGAAATGACAAACAACAAGTGCTACTCTACACTGCCCAAAAAACTCGCGTTTGAATCGTCAGTGGCAAATTCTTTAAATATAAAAAACGTACTTACAGTCTGTCGCTATGGTTACTGGTAAGGAATATGGGTTTGACTCCCGTTGCACGTTTATACAGACAGTATTCTAAACACAACAGTAAGCTGCTGTGTGAATGAGACATTTCGAGACTCACACCTGTAAAGAAAATGCAGTTGTCAATCCCAAAAATTGACAGTGTGAACGTAGCCCATGTCTGTTCAATGATGTTCCGCCAGTCAAAAAATGATGTTCCGCCAGTCAAATTTCATAGTTCATGTATATTGTTGATATAGGATCTTTATAGACCTGATTTTGGTCTTTGTAAATCTTATAGTTTTCAAGAAATGTATGATTAAAGATGTTGATAGAATGTTAAGCCTTCAAAATGTAATCAAAGTAATGTCATAATATTTTCATGCTGAATTGCAATTGGATCTTTCTTGTACCTATTTACATACTGAATTATGATTGGTCAGTTATTCTTTGCATGCAACAGAATGAATACCAAGACGTGTCGTGTTTTTTCTGTTTCACTGACGCAGAAACAAAACCTAAAACTTCTGTTGCTGCCTTGCAGTAACTGGTATTTTCTTGAGGAAAAGTGAAGCCAGTTGTATCTACTGATTTTTATTTTATTTTAAATCCCTTTTAGTCCAGAAAATCTTTACTATTCAATAATTTAAGTGCAGTGTAGATAAACAACTTTGGAACAGAGGTTCCAGACAGTCGGAAGCAGACATTCTCTTAAAATTTTACAACTAAACATTGAACTGTTTCCCAGTGTCACCGGAGACAAATTAGCAGTAAATTCTTGTTTATTTAGCCTCAAATCAATGAATGCTAATGGATCCCTAGATGTGTTATAAAACTGTTCATCATGTGTTTTCACTTGTGCTTTGCCGTGAAAGACTCATCTGTTACGTACCATCTCTCATTTGATGAATTTTTTTTTACAGGAGCCTCTTGAAATCTGTTGAAGAAGAGCTGCACCAGAGGTATGATGCCGTTGCTTTGTGTCCTTCACTCCTTTGCTCTTTCATAGCTTTTTTTTCCCTTTGGCTTCCTCTCTCTCTCTATCTTTCCATCTTTTTGCTGCTCTGTCAAACTCTACTCGTACATCTCTCTCTCTCTCTCTCTCTCTCACTCTCTCTCTCTCTCTCTGCATAGCTGGTTTTTCATCTGATCAATATTTGATGTGACCTAACCTTGCCCTTTTGTGCTTGTCCAAGTGGAACCAAAGGCTGATTTGCTTGGCAGTGCTGTGTTGGAGATCTGTGTTATTTTTGCCACAGTATTAGTTTTCCATTCCTCAGGGGGAAATTAACCAGTTAGTCCCTCTAAATGAAATTTCCTCCAGATGCATGTCTAGATTGGTCTTTGGGATTGTTCTGTTATTAATTCACACATTCACACTGTTTTAAGTGGCCACCTTTAAAGGGTGAGACAAAGAGTCTAGTTAGTGCATATTTACATAGAATTACAGTGAAAAACTACTCAGAAAGCCCTGTGTGAACGACCCATTAACCTTTTATCTTACCTTTGGGAAGTCGAGCAAAGTGTTGCTTCAAATTGATAATCTTCATTGAATGAGCGCCGCAACCTTCTCAATCCTCATTAGGGGGCATAAGGCTCATTTGGAGGATGATGATGAGGGTGAAGATGATGGAGATGATCATCATGATGATGAATTGCAACAGTAAGTTCATCTGATTCTATAGCCAATCTCTTCCTGCTGCTCTAAAGGTTAAAACACTTAAAGATCACGATGCACTGGCAACTTTTTGGCATGAATTCAAGTGCCTGTGCCTTTTTTCATCGTCCTTTGTGACACTTGAATATTTTGACTTCTCTTTTGATTCAAATACTGTTTTCAATGTCCTCTGAAAATGTTGCCAGTATATCATGACCTTGTAGTTCCATGGGAATCATTCTTTCATCTGTTTTCTTTTTGCTAGACACACCATCTCTTTTCTTCTTTATTTAGCAATGCAATGTCTAGCAGGCGTTTTAGAATATTGTGGTTTACACATTTTTCCGGGTTCAAATGCAAGTTCAAATCCATGAAACTGAGCCCTCTTTTAGTGATGCTGACAAGCTTTCTTCTACATTTAAAGGAATAGATCACTCAAAAATTAAAATGTTGTCATTATTTTTTCATCCTCCTGTTTCATAACAGCATACAGGTTTGAATTAACACGAGGCTGAATAAACAATAAAAGCATTTTCATTATAGGGTGAATTATTCCTGGTGCATTTGATTGCATGTTTGTTTGTTGTCTGTTTCCTGTCCTATATTGTACCCCTGTTGGTCCAGTGTCAGATGAAACCAATCCCAGAGGTCTATTAACATCCTGTTAATGCTCTCAAATTATGTTTGTTAGTTGTAGCATGATTAGCATTGTGACTCATCTAATTGAATTTCTGATTGGTTTCAGCACTAAAAGCTCCACTATGAGGCCCACGTTCCCCCCACCACTTCCTCCCAAGGTAAGTATTAAAAAAAAAGTTTTATGGTATAAAAATGTTTTTTAATAAACTGTTTTAGTGTTAAAAAAGTTACACTACCTTTCGAAGGTTTAGAGTCAGTTCGATTTTTTATTACTTTTATTCAGCATGGATGCATTAAATTGATTAAAAGTGACAGTAAAGACTTTTACTGGAAATTGTTCATTTAAAATAAGCTTTTGAAATTGATTCATCAAAGAACCCTGAAAAAAATCGGACTTTCCAGAAAAATTAAGAACAAATGTTTTCAACTGATAACAATAAATATTTCTTGCGTAGCAAATCAGCATATTAGAAGGATTTCATGTGACACTGAAGACTGGAGTAATGGCTGCTGAAAATTCAGCTTTGCATCACATGAATAAATTACATTTTAAACTATATTCAAATAGAAAACAGTTATTTTAAATTGTGATAATATTTCACAGTATTACTGTTTTTACTGTATTTTTAATCAAATAAATTCAGCTTTGGTGAGCATAACAGACTTCTTTCAACAACATTAGAAAATCTTGCCATCCCTAAACTTTGAATGGTAGAGTCTTTAGGTGGTGTTTTGATGTTTTGAACAACCAAGTCCTTCTTTTGCCTTGAAACAAGCTTATTGGAAATCAGTATACAGCTTCTACAGTTTTTTTTACATCCTCTTTTTTTTTTAGTAATCACAGTATTGATCTGACGGAAGTCGGTAGCATGCTGCTAATTTTGTTCTGCCGTTTCCAGCCAAAGTCCAGTCCCGGACCACATCAAAGCCCCTCTGGTGATCATGACGGTAACCAGGGCACTATAAAGCACTGCCTGGGGCCCGAAAGCCCATCTCGATCATCCATCAATGTGCCCCCTCGACCTCCACCTCCTCGACTGCCTGCAAACAAGCTCAGCAGTTTAGGTAACGAGACCAGTCGGGAAGAACATGGCCCTTGGGAAGCCCAGGGGGATGCTGGGATATGTAGTCAGTTCGACGAGAGGCTGCAGGTCTCATTTGATGAAGAGGAAGATCATGATGAGGAAGGAGACAGTAAGACAGGCTCTCCCCTTTAAACTTAGTTCAACCCCAGTCACTAAACCGGTCTCCAAACTATCCCATTGTTAGTTTCTTTAGTCAGCCCGTAGTGAGATTACATGTCATTCTTTCCTCTTGCCCTTTCTAAGAGAAATAGAGTCATTGGTGTTTACATGTGAAAATGTCACACACCCACTGGAAGACATCACGAGTCACCCACTCCACCCTTGTATTCTTTTCCTTGTCAAATTATTGTTCTCCTGTCAGTCATTGTTGCAATCATTGTTTTGATTTTCATTATGCTTGTCTAGTTTTTGTTGTGTCTTCTTAGTATGGTAGGTGCAAATTGCGATAGTAGCTTAGTAAATAATGCTGATAATGCTAAATTTCTTATGTGAATGTAGACAAAACGAACACTTTCTTTACACATGTGGCCTGTGTGCATCTTTTGTTGGATGCCTATGTAAAATTATAAAGTGTTTAAGATTTATGAAAAAACTAAAAATGTATGCTATATCTTTTCTTATCCACAGGCAATGGAATTAGCTCATCTGAACACTTGCCCTCAACAGAGAGACAGTCCACAATGCCCCCTGCTGTTTCTATACCAAAGGACAAGAAAGATTTTCCAGTATGGCTTCATTTTAGTGAATTCCAATATTGATTCTTGTAACACTTATGATTCCTGGATGAAGAATGTATGGCATGTTTGCGGAGTGCAGCGTTTTAAAAAAAATAATAATTTCATTTTAATACTGTTAGATCCCAGTTGTCTTAATTCACTGTTCACCTTTTAATGCGCATTAGTATATTTAGTGATAAGATCTTTGAATTAATTGAGTTATTATTGTTATTATTATTACATATAATTATATGAGTTGATTTTAATAAATGTATTTAAATAACTTTGATTAAATACATTTTATTATTGAGTTTATTATTAATAATAATATATTCTTGTTATTATTGTATTAATTTTTGTAAAATAAGTTAAAGATTTATTACATAATATTATTTATTACATGACATAATGATAAAAACAATATTACATATAATTATATTTTAATTTTAATGCAATATATTTATAGGTAGCAATAATAATAATATTATTAGATTTAATTATTTTGCATAATTAATATGTAAAAATATATATAATTGAAATATCTTATTATTATTAAATAGTGAAAATGGTTAAATTTAATTTGCATTCTTGTATTTTGTTTCAATTTTATGCATATTAATTAGTTTTTTCCCCCACAGAAACCAATCAGCAATGGTCTCCCTCCAACTCCAAAGGTTCATGTAAGTGGACATCATAGTTTTATTCAGTCATGCAGATCTATGGCACTGTATTGGAAATACACTTAATTACTTGCCATATATTTTTATTTACATTAATGTATGTTGCCTTTTTGATAGTGTTGTTTGTTTTCTTAAATATAAACCTTTTGAACAGTGGTTCATTTGGCTGCATCTGATTTATCCATTGTGTTGTATTTCCATGTCCAGATGGGAGCATGTTTCTCTAAAGTCTTCAATGGCTGCCCATTAAAGATACACTGCGCTACCTCATGGATCAACCCAGACACACGAGGTGAGTTTGTCATGATAATCTGGCTAATCTGAAATGGTAATACAGTGCACAGCATAAATGAGTACACCCCCTCTGAAACTTAACAAATTCAGCAATTAGTCTTTGCTTAGAAGACATGTTATGGTTTTTTTAGAGATATAATATTCCAGCAAGTCTGCTTGATCAGTTACCAAAGAAGAATGTTAAAATTATTCAAGAAAATACCATTTATCAAAGTGATAAAATGTTGTGTTGCAAAAATGAGTACACCCTCCTGAAAGTTACTAAATAAAACAAAACAAAAAATTCTGGTGTAACGTTAAGGCAAGTATTGATCAACAGGTAAGTATGTTGAACCAAAACTGTTAAAGGTAAGTCATTTCTTGATAATTAAGTGTTATATGGCCCACTGAATCATACTCGGACTTAATGCTGACAACAATGAAACCACTTGAGAGAGAACTGTCAGGAGATTTATTTCTTAGCATAAGAGAGGACAATGGTACAAGAGGAATACCAAATTATTGTTTTAAGTGTGAAAATATTGTCAAAGTAACACAGATATCAAAAACAATGGACTTGTGAAAAGGCCCCTGAAATAATCAGGTCTTCTCTTTAAGCTTTCATTTAGTGATGAGTGAGTTTTTGCTACATAAAGAGCATGAGAAACACTGTGAAAGTGTCTCAGAGCCGGCAAAAGCTGTGAAAAGAGTGACACTTTTATCTCACAGAGTAAGATGCAGCATGCAGAAGTGACATGCATGGTTGTTTATCCACACCAGAACTACCGACTGTAGCCAAAGCACAATAAACTCATTTAGCTTTTTCCAAGGCCCATATTTACAAAATATTGACTTCTGGGAATCCATACTCTGGTCTCATGAGACCAATTCAATCATTTCGGATCTAACAGCATCCAAAATGTTCTGGTGTTGCTAGAGGAGGAGTACAAAGAGAAGTGCCTGGTTCCCACAGTGGCATTCAGTGGTAATAAAGCTCTTCTATATAAATAAATACATCTTTTATATTTAATCAGATGGGGTGTACTCATTTATGCTGTGCACTGTATGTCCGTTATTGCATCCATTGATATTGTCTACTGAAGCATTTGCTGATACCACCTCTGAGTGTGTTTTGTTCTCCCCTGTTCATGTGTTTCAGACCAGTATCTGATATTTGGAGCAGAGGAAGGTATTTACACATTAAACCTTAATGAGCTGCACGAGACGTCCATGGAGCAGGTGTGATGTTACTTTTCAGACATTTTCAAACAAATGGTTTTCCTAAGTAGAAGCATTAATTTAAAAATGAAAAAGAAAAGTGTTTGGGAAAATCTCAGTTTGTGTGATGTATTTTTATATCCTTATATTGTGTGAGTGTAGCGTGCTTCTTCAGTCCGCCTTTTTGTCTTGTACTAAAGCTATTTTTGTGTCATTCTCAGCTTTTACCCAGGAGATGTACTTGGCTGTATGTCATGAGCAACAGCCTGCTATCAATATCCGGTAAGCTGTGCTTTAAAAAAATCAGGTTTAGCTTTTCAGATTACAAATTAGTCCGAGTGAGTTTCTTTTTTTTAATGATTGCTACAATTTTAGAATAAAATTTTAATTTTTGAGTCACACTTTACATTACAGAGTAGAACTGTTTGTAATGTGAAAATACTAGAATTGTTAACTATAGTAACATTTCATGTATGTAAAGTGTTACCTGACATAGTCCTGTATCCCTATTTTGAATAATGAGATTGTGTTTTGGCAGGAAAAGCATGTCATCTGTACTCTCACAGTCTGATGGGCCTATTTGAACATGCTCGACAAATGCAGAAGCTCCCTGTTGCCATACCAACACATAAATTGCCTGACAAAATAATCCCCAGGTAAATGTTCAGATCACTGTGTGGTGTCTGAATTTAAGGATATGACCAGTAGTCAAACTGTAAATATACGTTATTTTACATTTTTATTTGAATTTCAGGAAATTCACAATCTCCACTAAGATCCCTGAAACAAAAGGGTGTCAAAAGTGCTGTGTAGGTGAGCAGATCATTTACTTTCTGTATTTCTGAATTCAGTAATATATAGCTATAGCTATAACTTTGGATGTCATGACTAGGCTGTATTTTGGCAGTAGTTTGTAATAATTAAGCTCTTTGTAATGTATTTGAAAAAATATTTTTTGCTCATCAAAGCTCAATTTATTTAAAAAAGAAATTGGAAAATATTATTACAATTTAAAATAACCTTTTTTTAAATTTAATATATTTTAAAATGAAATGTATTCCTGCAATGGTAAAGCTGGAAGCTGGTCATTCAGTAATCATTGTAATATTCTGATTTGGTTCTAAAAACATTTATTATCTATGCTGAAAACAGGTCAGCATTTAAAAACTGCTTCACATTTTGTGGAAATGGTGATACATTTCTTCTTGGATTCTTTGATGAATAGAAAAAAGAACAGCATTTATTTGAAATAGAAATGTTCTCTAACATTATAAATGTCTTTACTGTTTGATCACTCTTGATCAATTCAAAACATCTTTGTTGGATCAAAATATCTTTTTTTTTTTTTTTAATCTTATACCAAACTTTTGAATTATAGTGTATCACGGTTTCCACAAAAATATGAAGCAACATAACCGTTTTAATTCAGATGACTTTGATGATATAATCAAACAGACTTTATTTAAGTTATTATATTGTGTTTTGTTTCCTTATGTTGTCTTGTTTATTCTCAGTGAGGAATCCGTATACTGGTCACAAGTACCTGTGCGGTGCCTTTCAGTCCAGTGTTGTCCTTTTTGAGTGGGTGGAGTCCATGCAGAAATTCATGTTGGTCAAGGTAAGTTCCCATCACTGTGTCTTATTTTGAAGGCTGTGCACTCTGGAGGTTGCATTTGTTGGCCGCATGCGTCATTGAGGCTGCCTCAGTTCAGAAAAGTAATCATTACATTGCAACGTGTGTAAGACATTATAGTCATTTAAACCTCACAAGGAATTACAGTCAATTTTCATAATGGTTACTTTTTTTTAAATGTGGCATCCTCAATGAAATATGCGGCCATATGAGGGTGCAATGAGACAGGGAATGTTACAGAGTAATATGCAGATTAGTATTACACTAAAATCCATAGGAGAGGTGTTTAACTTAAGGTTTTGAAAACAGCATGTAGCACGTAGGCCACATTATTAGCTATTCATGCTTCCATTAAGCTTGTAGAATTGCTGATCTTCTACTTAAAGGGGTCCTATTATGCTCTTTTACAAAGTCTTGATTTTGTTTTGGGGGTGTACTAGAACATGCTCTCATACGAGGTTGTTCAAAAAACACATTATTTTTCACATATTTTACATTATTACAACACCTCTCTCACCAGTCTGGCATGAACGGCTCGAATAGTTCCTGTATCAAATGAAGGCGAATGTGCTGAAATACGAAATATGCTGTGATTGGTTAGCTGGGCCAGTGTGTGTTGTGATTGGCACCACTCAGCACCTGGTCGGGAAATGTCATGCCCCTTACCAAAGCCGCCTGCAAGCTTCAGTGTAAATATTGCGTCAATATCAAATCAATTTGAGCGCGATTTGGGAAAGCTAGCGTATCTCCGACATAGTGATAACACTCGTTGCCTTCTCTAGTGCAGCTCAACCAGGTCTCGTCCCATTCGTCGGTATTTGTGATATCACAAATCCCGGAAAATATGCATTGTAGTCCAAACGAGTCGTTCGTTGTAGTTTTTGAAAAAAAGTGATTTCTGTTAAATAAAATATCTCCTTTTGAACTGGACTTTGAGCTTTGTAACTTTGCCGATCTTTTTTATGCTCAAACAGCAACATTACAGACTAACTAAAAGTGAAAAAGCATAATAGGACCCCTTTAAGACTTGTAATTAAAATTGCTTTACTTGTGGTATTTTCACATGCACGCTGTTCCAAATTAAGCACAGACTCGTTCCCTGCAGAGCATAGACTTCCCCCTGCCGTGTCCGCTGGAGGTGTTTGAGATGCTGGTGGTTCCAGAGCATCAGTATCCTCTCATCTGCATGGCTGTGAGCAAAGGGACAGAGCTCAACCAGGTGGTGCGGTTCGAGACCCTCAACCCCAACTCTACCTCCAATTGGTTTGATTCTGGTGGGTACTTTAAAATATGACACCATTATCACACTGATTAAGATAAGTCTTTACATTTATGAATAATTTAATTGCTTTACATTTATTAATAAATATTAATTGAATAATTTAAATGTAAAAAAAAAATTGCCTGTTAATGCAACTGTTTATTTAGAAGAAAATTAAATAAATTTAAATGAGCTTTTCATTCCGGTTTGACTCTTTTAGAATTTTAGAAATGCAAAAGTCTAGAAATTGTTGTCGTTGTTGTTTCAGATACCCCACAGAGCTGTGTAATCCATGTGACCCAGCTGGAGAGAGATACAATTTTAGTCTGCTTAGATCGTAAGTACGGAACATGCCATTTATAGATCAATAACAGATGCATGCATATTAAAAAAAACAGATATAATGATTAATTGCCTCTCTTCTTCCTCTCTAGGGTGCATTAAGATTGTAAATTTGCAAGGTCGGTTGAAGTCCAGTCGAAAACTCTCAGCAGAACTGACTTTTAACTTCCAGATTGAATCAATAGGTATGAGAGCTTGGCACATTAACGATGGCCTCAAGTAAATATAACTCCATTCTCTAAGCACACTGAATTGAGCAATTAGCCTCTTGGCATATTTAAACACTTTTGTATGGGCAAAATGTTTAATTTATTTAAAATATATATATTTATATCTCTGTTTTAATAACTCCCTCGCTCTATGCATCCATCTATTCCTCTTAGTTTGCCTTCAAGACAGTGTGTTGGCCTTCTGGAGGCATGGCATGCAAGGACGCAGCTTCAAGTCCAATGAGGCAAGTCCTGCTGTATATGTGAGAGATGATGTACAGACAGCCTGTCAATAATATCACAAAATAAACCCTGACGGAGTGGTTGGGACCCTGTTGTGAAGCAGACAATGCATTATATATATATGAGCAATATCACTCGAGTACGAGAGCGATACCGGCTCTGTATCAGCATGACTGTGATTAGGCCAGAGGCATGAGGCCGCAGGCAATCACAGCCGCTGATATAGAGCCAGTATCGCTCGAGTACAAGAGTGATATTGCGTTTATACAACAGTTCGACGGAACGTGTGTAATTACACAAGAAACAACGGAGTGCCTAATAAAACCCTCTTTTGTGCGGAACTACTTCCTTCCGCCACGGATTCAAAGCTCAAGTTGACAGTTAAACATACGTCACTTTTAGAATTCGTATCAAGGGCATGTGCTGCTTCAGTTAGGTTATTAGTGAGAAATAATGCGGCAAGACGTGCATCCAAATGAGAGAGAGAGAGAGACCGCGAAGCTAGACATTTCTTCTTATGTTAATCTTATATTATATTATACTAACGTACTCTACGATTAGCTCAGTGAATAATAAAAAAAAAAACATAGACCCGGCTAGAACAAGCGGAGTGATACAAAATCGTGAAAGGGCGTTCCTGTAGCGATACCAGTACAATATCTCACAGTTCTCAACCAATCAGATTTGAGAACCAGAACGAACTGTTGTATAAATATATATATATAAATACACACACATACACACTCTGACGCTCACAATTATTGATATATATAGTATTTCAGAGAGCAGCATTAAGAAAAACAACAACAACTAAAAACGAGGATTTTTTTAATATACATAAATTAAATGACATACGTATTGTGCAATCCCATTATTCTGTCCACATTTTATATTCCAGATTACACAGGAGATTTCTGACAACTCAAGGATATTCAGGCTGCTGGGTTCAGACAGGTGAGAAGAAGCAATCCAATTATTAAATCATTAAGTAATTAATATCATACCCTTTATTACCGGTGTGCCAAACGTAGGTCATATGTATGCAGAAAGGGCATCTGGTCATTTGTATTTGTTTTTATTTCATTCTTTTTAGAGTGGTGGTTTTGGAGAGCCGACCAACAGACAACCCCACAGCACACAGCAATCTCTACATCCTCGCAGGCCACGAAAACAGCTACTGACTGCAATGAATTATGGGATAAAAACACTACATGCCGGAATGCAAAGTTACAAGAGCCTTTGGTTTCATGTGGCCCGATGACAACTAGCCACATCTCAGAAGAACCACAGATATACTGTTGGGATACAGCTGAAAGTACAGAGGAAGACTTGTATGGACATAAAGATCTCAGAGTAGGATATTCAGATCTCAGAGAACAGACGGGCCGTAACCGCACGATGTACTACAGTATGCACTTTCACACTTATCTGTTTTATAGGCCTCGCTTTGGTTTGGCTTGTAGCAGTTTTAATTTATTTTTTACCTGAAACACACACACAAACAAATGTTTTTTTGTTTTTTTGGGCCACTACTCACACTTTGACGTAACCACACAAGTGCTTGAAGACACGTATTTAATTCATGTACATACAGACATAGTATTGTTAAGTACTCTTTGTATTGGTTGTGTAGATATCAGCACATTTATGTTGTACAGGTTTGTGGCAGCGTTGGTTATTGTAAAGGACTGTGAGATGCTGGGTTCTACTTAAAATTACCTTTAGGGCAGATAATTTTTGTTAATTGCAATAGTTTAGGAATCACAAAGCTGAAGTGCCCATCTTTCCAAGACTTGCCGCCTTAACATTGCTATTTTTATTTGTTTGTTTTTATTCTGCTTTTTTTATATAAAGCCAAATAGTGTTTTTATTGAGCAACTTTGAATTCGGTGGCCCTTGTAATTGTTTTTAACTCTGTGGTATGCACTCACTTCAAATTTGCACAATGTTATTAAAATGCTGATGTGTATATGTAAGTGTATGTTTAAATCCATGCAGATAATAACATATATAGTAGGGATGCACCGATATGAAAATTTTGGCCGATACCGATAACCGATTATTCTTTATTTTTGAAAGCCGATAACCGATATGTTGGCCGATAAATCTATATCCAAATTGTTATATACTTTTTGAGAGCCTGATTACAAAAAAGGTCTCATCATTAAAAGCCACATCCCAAACACTTCAACATAAGCAGCCTAGTTTGAACGGTGTACGTTTTAAAAATATTTTTACTCTCCCATTACCAAATTTAGTCATAAAAAAGTCTTACAAATAAATAAAATTATGCATAAATAATGCAAACAAGTCACTGGACATCATTACACGTGTAAAGAATCAAAATGAATGCGCCATAGATCAATAAAACGGAATAGCCTCTGCACGGACAATAATTAAATGATTTTAATTACTAAACCATATTGTTGATGAAAATAATAAGAGAACAATACAAGTGGTTGTTGTTATTAATAATGTATCAATGATTTTGAAAAAGTAACAAATTAATACCACTGTTTTAAATAGCAGCCGTTTGAGCTGCGCGTGCTGAAGCTGAAGAGCTGAATGAACACGGTAAACTGAAGCGCTTTGCTGGCAGCTTATTTAACTCAAGGAAATGCATCCTGAGATTAATATTAATACAACATAAACATAATATTACAACTTATATATGTACAAAATTACGCAGTTATTGCATGCTATAGTCAGAATGTGTGATCCTGTTGTGGATGCGCTCTTCCCATAACAACGCGCTGAAACACGGCAACTAAACCCATAGAATTCACAACGTTTTATTATAATAATGTTCTCATTAGAATTTTATATACACGACATTCCCAATCATAGTTATTAATGTTGTGCACTGCTGTTTGAGTTTATCACCGGTAAACTGAAGCGCTCTTTTAACTTAACCAAACGCATTCTATATGAGATAAATCAGATATACATCAAATAAACACAATATTACAACGTACAATTGCACAAAAGGCTGCAAACGAACAGCGCACATCTGAAGTGTCTCTGAAGGAAATAATGCATTATTTATCGGCTTTAAGATATCGGCCAAATTTTCTTATTGGGCCGATACCGATAACAGAAAAAATGAGCATTTATCGGCCGATACCGATATAGTGGCCGATATATTGTGCATCCCTAATATATAGATATATAGACACATATTTTTTAGTAAATGTGTATACATGTATAATCCTAATAAGCAATAAATCATTAGGATGTTTTTACATTGTTTTAAATAAATCAGACTGTAAGACTGAGTTCACAAGCTTGTTATGTGGATGACATTACTGTCTGCATCCAGCTGTGTTTGTATGTCATTTGAGTGCTGTACACATTATTTAGAAGATTATGTTGGAATTTGTGAAGTGAAGTAAACTTTCAGCAACATGGACTGGCATTAAATCTCGCTCAGAACTGTTGTTGAAAGTAAAGGAAATTCCACCATAAGAAAATAGCATATTCCTTATGCTCTCTTGTTGTTTGTCCGTGATTGACAAGTTAATACGGTTATGGAATTCATTTTCGTTTTGTTTCAATGTACATACTGTAAAATAAAATCATGGTTTTACATACTGAGATGTCTTTCGTGTTTTAATAATAACTGTATTTTGCTATCTTAGCAAAAAAAGTTAAATGTTTTGCTATCTAATCTTCCATGCTTTTTTAATACACATTGCTTATTTGTTTATTTAAATGTACGAAAAATATTAATAACCATTTGCAATAATAATAAAATGCAAATATCTATAATTAAAAGTTCGAAACGCAGGACAATTTTCCCAGGCAAAATAAACGTGCGCTGAACAGGAAGCTAGCGCAACACAACCGGAAAAAGACTTTTATTTTAAAACAGTTTTGTTCTGACTCTTGCTTCACAGTCCGTCTCGTCACAGACATGGCTGCGTCCAGTGTTTTTAAAGCAGGTCTTTTCAATCACAAAGTTGCAATCGTGACTGGAGGCGGCACTGGGATAGGAAAAGCTATTACTTCTGAGCTCTTACAGTTAGGTATGCATTTACTAGAAGTTTTACAGATGGATCTGACTGTGTTTAGATCAGGACTGCAGTGAATTATAGTCCAGATATTGTGCAACACAGCAATCAGTCACTAATTTATGATTCTTTTTCACATTTCACAATTCACACACATCACATATTAGTAATGACATATTTAATTACTACCAATACAATATATTTGATGCTTTTAGATTTTAATTTCCATTTCTGTTACGTTTATATATACAAATGAGGCACTGTCTAATTAAATATTTACTAATTTCCAGAACAGATATTCTTTTTTCATTTTGTTAATATATTAAAGTTTTTTACAGAGTTTTTTTTATCACTCCATAAATTAAAAAAATACTGTCGACAGCCAAAAAAAAAAAAGTCACAGTGCTTGTGAATCATATATGAACAAACATCTCTGTAAAAACCTCCATAACGTAGATGGGTATAAAACTGTAAAGTTTGGTGTACATAAGTGGTATTTAAAGATGTATTATAATTGAAATAAATGTGTATTTTAGATGTTATTTTTTTCCACTGAAAGAAGACATGTTATGAAAGAAAAATAGCCCAAAATCTCAAAATTACCATTAAAAAAAAAGACGTTTTGTCTGAAGTATTTTTCCTTAACTATTAAATAAATATATTGTACTTAAACTATTTAAAAAAAAACACATTTATAAAAAAAATATATATATATTTATACAAAAATCTAGAGTCTCAAATATCACTCATGTTGTAGGCTGCAGTGTGGTTATATCGTCCAGGAAGCTTGATCGTCTGGAGTCAGCAGCTGAAGAGCTGACGCAGAAAATCCCCTCATCCAGTCCAGCTAAAGTAACTCCTATACAGTGCAACATCCGAAATGAAGAAGAGGTGACAGTCTCATAAACCTGTATTTTGTACCTTTATGCCAGAGAAGCGTGTAAAATAGTCTTTGTTTTTAGCATGTTCATTTTGGACTGGTTTCTCCAGCTGGAAAATACCGGTTCATAGGTAATAACAGTATACTGTAGGTCTGGATTATAATGTGGTGTGATTATTTAGCTCCCGTTCTTAACAGGTGAAGAACCTGATGGCCTCCACTCTGAAGCTTCATGGGAGGATTGACTTTTTGGTGAATAATGGAGGTGGGCAGTTTTCCAGCCCAGTGAACTTGATGAGTGCAAAAGGCTGGAAAGCTGTGATTGACACTAACCTCAACGGAACGTTCTTATGCTGCAAAGAAGGTTTGGCATAAATGGCAATGTGAAATGCGAGACATACAGTTTAGCAGTTTATCTGCTGTTTGTTTTGATCGTAATGTGCAAATTGTAAACTTTATTTCTGAAATTACATGTTGACAATTCTGCATAATAAATTCAAAGGCTACTCAGTCAATTTTTGCTCTTAATTCATAGCATACAATGCATGGATGAAAGATCATGGAGGTGCAATTGTGAACATCATTGCAGACATGTGGAAGGGTTTTCCTGGAATGGCGTGAGTTGGACATTATAACAATATAATAAAAATATTGTGTATTACTTTGCATTGTTTGGCTGGTTAAATCCTCTTTTTTAATTTGTTAAAAATTTTTTATGACAGGCACACAGGAGCGGCATGTTATTTTTTTCCACTGAAAGAAGACATGTTATGAAAGAAAAATAGCCCAAAATCTCAAAATTACCATTTAAAAAAAAGACGTTTTGTCTGAAGTATTTTTCCTTAACTATTAAATAAATATATTGTACTTAAACTATTTAAAAAAAAAAACACATTTATAAAAAAAATATATATATATTTATACAAAAATCTAGAGTCTCAAATATCACTCATGTTGTAGGCTGCAGTGTGGTTATATCGTCCAGGAAGCTTGATCGTCTGGAGTCAGCAGCTGAAGAGCTGACGCAGAAAATCCCCTCATCCAGTCCAGCTAAAGTAACTCCTATACAGTGCAACATCCGAAATGAAGAAGAGGTGACAGTCTCATAAACCTGTATTTTATTTCTTTATGCCAGAGAAGCATGTGTAAAATAGTCTTTGTTTTAGCATGTTCATTTAGCAAGGCATATAGGATCAAATTTGATTTCTCCAACCGGCAAATGACTGCAATTCCTGTTTATAGATAATAGCAGTATAGGTTATTCTTGACAGGTAAAGAACCTGATGGCCTCCACTCTGAAGCTTCATGGGAGGATTGACTTTTTGGTGAATAATGGAGGTGGGCAGTTTTCCAGCCCAGTGAACATGATGAGTGCAAAAGGCTGGAAAGCTGTGATTGACACCAACCTCAATGGAACGTTCTTATGCTGCAGAGAAGGTCAGGCATATATGGCAATGTGAAATGCGAGACATACAGTTTAGCTGCTATTTGTTTTGATTGTATATGTAAATTGCAAAGCCTTATTTCTGGCCATAAATGAATTGACATGTCGACAATTCTGCATAACAAATTCTCAAAGGCTACTCTCAGTCAATTTTTTGCTCTTAATTCGTAGCATACAATGCATGGATGAAAGATCATGGAGGTGTAATTATAAACATCATTGCATTAAGAATTCGTGAGTACGGTTTATAAACTGAGGGGACGGATTGTTTTTTTTTCTCCTACAGGTGACTTCCCGGGCTCCGTACGTTAAGGCCCCCAAAAAGCCCCGGATAGTCGAAACATTTTTTTAATAATAATAATCCTTAGAAAAACAATAGGCCCCTGCGCCTTAGTGGCTTGGGTCCTAATTACATTTAGGACACAGAAAAAACTTATGAATGAAATTATGAATGAGCGATATCCAAACATGGTATTGTGGTTCTTTTTGCTTGCGTTACGATATAAAACCATACTTTTATTAAAGGGATTATTATAATAATTTTTAGTTCATTGGCGGCGGGGGGGTAAATGATTAATCTTTTTTTCTTTTTCTGGCATCTTATTCGGAACTCGTTTAAAAATTGGGGCTCCAAAAACTCAGGTTGCTAGGCAGAGCGCTGCACGCGAGCACGCGCACGCCGCTGATTGGCCAAACAATGGCATTAGCTGCGCGAGGGGGGATGCGTTGTCCTCAGTGTGGAACTGTCCGAAAAATAATAATAAACCCCGAGCTAAAAGGTTGCACGTGATGAGCACTTGCAAATGATAAACGGAATAAACAAGCGACATCTGCATGCATTTGTTTGGGGGTTTATTCGAGGTAAGAACCGTGTATTCTCGCATCATTAAAGCAGATAGTACGTTACGCGTGGGGTGTGACTTGACAATGCCAGCTACTAAAATGCGATGTATTGCAATGCAGCGCAAAACAAAGTAACATATATAACAGGCGGTTGTGTTTTTTTCTCTCATTCTAGAAGCAAACCTCTTAAAAGGTCGATTGAGCTGCATACTGACACCACAGGAGCCTCTCTGGCTTCATAGTCATGAGTGAAGGGGCATCTGGAGACATCACTGGTTTGGATCTGGAGGGAGCGATTGGGACAGAGGAGACCCCCGTGAACACGCTTCAGAGGTCGGCAGAGGAGGAGGGAACCACCACTCGGAGGAAGAAGAAGAAGAAAAAGAAAGAGATCATCTACCGCTCTGACCTGGAGGTGGAGGATGCTGGGGAGGGAACCTCAGCAGATGTGGACGGAACCTTTAGTCCTCCACTTGACGAAGGTGAAAATATGATATCTTGGGGTGAACTGTAGCGTGATGATTGTCCAAGTGCAGTGAAATGCATCATTTTGTTTACTGTAATGGGTTAAAACAGATGATGGCACCATATCACCTGTGCTTTCTATCCAGAATACACCAGATTGAGACCATGAGTAATTATCCTCATATTAAATAAGACATGATTTTATCTTTTATTTTTTATCCTTGCTGATCGTTTTATGTCAGTTATCTAGGTATTGTTTGTTTTACAGTCTTCTGGTTAACAGATTTTTTCCAGAAAATCTTGCAATCTCAGGGAAGTATATATTTGTAATTACCAGTCCTAGAAAAGGTGTGTCTTGCAAGTTAGAAACATTAGTACATTTTATATACTAATCATTCATTTATTTAGTTATTTATTTAACGAAAGTAATACTTTTATCAGCAAGGGTTAATTAAATTGACCCAAAATGACAGTAAAGAAATGTAAAACGTTACAAAAGATTTCTATTTTAAATAATGCTGTTTGTTTAAAATTTCTATTCATCAATGGCAAAAAAACAAAAACAAAAAAGTATCACAGTTTCTACACAAATATTAAGCAGCACCAAATCAACATATTAGAATGGTTTCTGAAGGATCATGAAAATTCAGCTTTGTCCTCGCATGAATAAATAAAAATTCTAAAATATATTAAAATATATAAAAAAGTTGTTTTAAATTGTAATAGTATTTCATAATATTAATCTTTTTTTTATTGAATTTTTGATCAAATAAATGCAGCATTTGTTGAGCTATAGACTTGTTTAAAAAATAAATAAATAAAAATCATACCAATCCCAAACTTTATAACGATAGTGTGTAATTATTCATTGGTCAAACATTTAATAATGTTAATAATTATAAATGTAATATAGTATATTATTAGTTGTAAAATAAGTGCTCGTTTTCTGTAATTAGTAATTAATTCAAGGCAAGTGTTTTGTGCCTGCTGGCTTGGACTGTATACATTCCAATATTTATTGCATTTCCTTTTTCTTTCCTGCATGACAGATTTATTTATAGTAATGTGTTGTTAATGCAATATCCTCCTCAATATTGATCTTTCATTCACAGAAGAAGAGGATATCCCTCCTGACAGCCGTTTCGTGACCCTAACTGGCACCATCACACGGGGAAAGCGGAAAGGCCAAATGGTAGACATCTATATGACGCTTACCGACAAAGAGCTGAGAGACATGGCACGCTCCAAAGAGCGTCTAGATGCAGAATGTGACGGGGCCGCAGAAGCCAAGCAAAAACCCTGTGCACTGGGGGTCAGCCAGGGCCCTCATGTTCTCCTCTGGAGCCTTTCCTGCTCTCCGTTCATCTTCCTTCTCTCTTTCATCACATCGTTTTACTTCGGAACGCTCACCTGGTACAACGTCTTCCTGGTTTACAATGAGGAACGCAGCTTCCTGCACAAAATCACGGTGTGTCCCTTACTCATTCTGTTATACCCGGTGCTGATCATGGCGTTGTGTGTTTGTATGGGGGTGTATGCCGCCGTGACCCAGCTCTCCTGGGTTTTTGGAGAATGGTGGCTGGCAGTGAGGGACCTGGAGAAGGGCTTCTGTGGGTGGATGTGTGGGAAGCTGGGGTTGGAGGACTGCGCCCCGTACAATGTGGTTGAGCTGCTGGACTCTGACACTCTGTCCGGGACCCTCCAGGGGAAGAGGATGGAAGATGCTGAGCACACTTCTACTTTGTGAACTTGAAAAGAAGGAATAATTTTTTTGATTTAAGGAATGTTATGGGTTAATACAAGTTATGCTCTGTCCGTGGTATCTGTGGGATGCTAAAGAACATCATTTTGACTTGGACAGGATAGGTCTCCAGACTTTTCAGTGAGTTTGTCAACTCAAGTTGTTGAGTTAACATAAAAAATGAGTCAAAATTATTTTTGGCAGCATTTAACTTGTTTTCAAGCCCAAGCATTCATATAAAGGGATAATTCACCCAAAAAATTTAAATTCTGCCATGATTTACTCACCCCTAATGTTGTTCCAAAAAAATATATTTTGAAGACTGGTGATAACCAAACCATTTTGGTTCCTATTAGCTTATATGAACCGTACCATATGAACAAAAAACATTTGTATGTTCCACAGAAGAAGTCTTCATTTTGCACAGTTTTATAGATGTGTACATGCTCTGATAGGGAATTATCAATGAATTAGTTAGACACTATTAAACAAGCATGGCTATTTATTGTAAAATTTCACAAAAACAATGAAATATAGGGCCAAGTTACTCTAAGAATTCAGCACATTATCTTTTCATATCCAATTTTTTTTTTTAAAGAAACAATGGAGGTTCTAATGCCTTTGCCTTTGATTTTTTAGACAGTATGTCATGTACACTCTGAGTACTCTAAAGTATGTTACATATTTACATTGGTCCTGTCTTATTAACATTACACACTCTCTTTGATGATACTTGATAAGCAGATAATGTTTCCTCTCTTAATCTTACTGATACTTTCACTTGAATACCACAACAGCAACATTTTACACTCTAAGCAGGCAAATTAACTTTTACACTTTGTGATTTTACACTTTGTATACTTCTATATATATATATATAGGCCTAACAACAATGGTGCTATGATAGTGTTCACCAAGGATATCAGCCATTAAAAACCACAGACTGTTATACAAGCATTAAGCATATTGGCTCAGTTGTCCCAGAAGATCATCTTACATTTCAAAAACCTTTTAAGAGGACATTCACAGATTATTGGATGATACATCTACTTCAGATGGGGCGGTGTCTGGTTCTCATATTGCACCTCAAAAACTCAACTCCAATAAATAGTTCAGCTCTGAGAAAGAGGTATGAATTATAGCACTCATTTCCTCTTCATATACAATCATCATTTACAACTTTATCTGTTGTTTATGTAGGCATACTGTTGTTTTGTATAATTTCTAAATGCAGGCTTCCCACGGTAATTGAAAACTTGTTCAGCAAAAAGTGGGGGAACCCCGTAACTATCTTAGCAGAGATCTATGCATCTGATCTGAATAATCTGAAATATGTTAACAAAAATGTAAAACACCTAAAGACAAAATTGCTCTAAGGTTGTACATTTATATCTGAAATATTGCAATTATGCAGTTATTAAAAGCCCTTACATTATGGTATTATATCTGTGAATGAGCAGCTTTGATATAAACCGCCTTTAGAATGAGTAATCGTAATCATCAGTAGTTTCAGTCTGTTGCACAAGAGATTATTGTTTATCTTTGGGGAATTTTACAACTGCTGTGCTATACAAAAAACACTCCTCATGCTGCTCCTATTACAAGACCTTGACCTGTTTTTTTAGCAGTTAGGCCAGCCTTAAAACTGTTACACAAACAACACTTGAATGGCATTATGAACTATGGTCTCCTGGCACAAAATAGCCTGTTTATCTGCAAACATGGTCTCAAAGCACAATCTTTGTTTTATAGCATGAACTTGATAATTTTTTGTTTTCACAAATATGCACTGGGTGTGTTTTTAATTGTCAACAATTTATAATAAAGAATTTTTCATTTGTTGTTTCAGTTGCATAGTTTTTGCTCCGTCAAAAAAGTTAAAACCTTTCAGACTTACGTAAAAGGTGTGCCATAGAGATATACAAGTTAATTACCCAACCTTTAAAAAATGTAATTGCGGCTTGTCAACAAGCATTCCCTCCCTTGACAGGTCTGTTATAGAATCACCACTAATTAAGTGTAATGAGAAGAAAGAAGTAAATATTCTTTAGAATGAGTAACAGCATGTGAAACTAACAACTGAAAGTGTAGACCGGGGTGCCCAAACTCGGTCCTGGAGGGCCGGTGTCCTGCAGAGTTTAGCTCCAACTTGCCTCAACACACCTGCCTTCAAGTTTCTAGTATGCCTATTAAGAGCTTGATTAGCTGGTTCAGGTGTGTTTAATTGAGGTTGGCGCTAGTTTGGGCACCCCTGGTGTAGACTGTAGACCAGGGTTCCTCAAATCTTGCCCTGGAGGGCCAATGCCGCTAAACTCTTCAGGACACCGGTCCTCCAGGACCGAGTTTGGGCACCCCTGGTGTAGACTGTAGACCAGGGTTCCTCAAATCTTGCCCTGGAGGGCCAATGCGCTGCAGAGTTTAGCTCCAAACCTGATCAAACTCACCTACCTGTGATTTTCTAATGATCCTGAAGACACTGATTAGCATGCTCAGGTGTGTTTGATTAGGGTTAGAGCTAAACTCTGCAGGAAAGTGGATCTCCTGGGCCAGATTTGAGGATCCGTGCTGTAGACAGAGAATTCCCATTTGAGGGCGTGGCTTGTTCGTGGTTCTGACTCTATGATTTTAGTTACTTTCGTTTTAGGCCTGATCTGGTCTTGTCAGGGAGATGAAGCCACACAGCGTCAACGGTAATATATCGGCAAACGCCAAGTATTCCTTTCTGTTGTAATGGGATATTTTTAAGTAAGATTTCAATATTTTAACCTATTGTTTGTTTATAGTATTACCTCTTCATACCATTTCCATGAAATACGTAGTTGCACAGTCAAAGGTCATTCAAATATAATTTGATCTAGTTGTTATAAAATCAAAATATGTATATTGTTTGACACATGATGGCGTAGTTTGTGCTTTTTGAATATAATATACCTATCTATCTTATTTTATCGGTGGTTACGGATGTTATTGGCATTTAACTATGCTAGGGTGACCACGTGCCATTTTCTCAGGACGCGTCCTGGCCAGGATTTCTATATTGCCTAAAATATCTAGGTTTTGGCTTTGTTTGCGTGTGCAGACCGATCGGTGTATGACATCAAAATAACATGATGATAAATAACAACACCTATATATTTTAGGCAATATAGAAATCCTGGCCAGGATGTGTCCTGGGAAAATGGCACGTATAGTCACCCTAAACTATGCGCTCCTTAAATGGACACATAATGCTTTTGTTTTGTGTAATCAAATGTTCATGTATCAAATCATTCTTTTGAGTCGGATCTTTTCACAGTGAAGACGCAAACGAATCGCTCGAGCCGTTTTGAAACGGATCCTTTGAATAGTTCCAAGAAATCGAATCTCATGATCTCTGTTGTAAAGCACGACAGAAATAAGCGTAAACTAGAGACGTAAACGGAAAGCGACCGAGTCCTTCTCGGGATTCCCCTTGAATTCTATGGGAAGGCTAGTTTCGCTTTTGAAATTAATACTTGTGTATAAATTCCAAGATTCTGTACGCAAAAGTCGTGAACTATGCTGTCCAAAATGCAAAATAAACCCCCAGGAAGTCAATCCACCCTTATGTACAATATAAAGTTTATAGAGTTTTAAATGCACTATGTATGTATTGAGTATATCCAAATATAATTTCGTTATGATATCGCATTATCTTTTATTTATGTGCCACATTTCTTCTTTTCCTTTTCCATTTAGTGTCACCAGGAGATAAGCCTGTCTGCCGGCAACACCACCAAAACGTTTGGCTCTCTAAATTAAGGACATTAAAGGTAAGTCTTGCCCAAGCAGCTGTCTTCCATTTGTTCACATTCATTGAAAAAAAAAAAGCTTCATGTGGTGTGTGTGCTTTGTCATTTACAGGTGTAAATCCAAAGTGGCTATTGATTTCTGGAATGTGATGAATGAAGCTTCAGTGGATTTCTTTCTCAATGGCATAATAAATGCAATTTTCATTCAATAATCACTCAAAAAAAGGACAAATGGCAAAACATTTTCCACTTTCTCCTTGACTAGCCTTTTAAGTAAACAAATAGATGTTTAAAATGCATAATAAAATTACATACTCCCAGCTGTTAAAATTACCTGAACTATAACCTACAGGATCTATACAGGATCATACAGTGAAATGGCGGATGGATTTTCTAACATGGTTAACAATGTGACTGCATCTCTTAAAAAAGAGGAGTGTAAGACCCTACGGTACCTTTGTACAGATTTGTTCAACAACATCTGTGTGGAAGATTTGAGAGGAGCTTTGTTGGCATTTGCCAAACAGACACAAACTCAATCAGGCCAGTCTCAAGCTGGTGATGCCCTACTGATGGAGCTCATGTTCCGAATGAAGCGCTTTGATATCCTAAATAAGTTTTTTGGCACCAACAGACAACAGGTAGAAGGAATTGTGAAGAAGGGCGGCGTCCTCTCAGATTACAGGTAATTTATGCTATTAATTCTTAATAGCATATCTCAATATCTGAGATACAGGTGCATCTCAATAAATTAGAATGTCGTGGAAAAGTTCATTTATTTCAGTAATTCAACTCCAATTGTGAAACTCGTGTATTAAATAAATGTAATGCATACAGACTGAAGTAGTTTAAGTCTTTGGTTCTTTTAATTGTGATGATTTTGGCTCACATTTAACAAAAACCCACCAATTCACTATCTCAACAAATTAGAATATGGTGTCCTTGTATGAGAAATGTGGTGAAACTAATAATTATGGTAATGAAAAGCCTTATTTTAGATCCTAACATTGATGTTTTTGGAGTTATTAGAGCACTCTCTTGGGAAAACCCCATGCAGAAATACCCATGAATGATATTTTCACCCATTTGAAAGTTTGTGTATTTTGAATTGATCTCATTTACACAGGGTTCTAATGGCAGATGTGAGCGAAAACCTGGAGGATGAGGAATTACAATCTCTTATATTCCTCCTGAGCAGTACCCTGGCCAAAGAAAGACTAGCTAGAGCTACTGTAAGACAGGAGACATTGCATGTTAAACCTTCAGAATATTTGTACTAAAAGAAACTGAAATGAACATAAATGTGCATATAGCATGATCAAGTCCAAAAGCTACCACTTTTCCATTTCTAATGGGGTTTGTGTAATGTGAATGCTTATTTCATGTTTGTTTCGTTTGATTTCTAGAGCTTTCTAGATGTGGTGGTGGAGTTGGAGAAGTTAGATGAAGTATCTTGTGATAAGCTTGACCTGCTTGAGCAGTGTTTGAGGAACATTCACAGAATGGACCTTGTCGAAAGGATTGAGGCCTATAAGAATAGAGGTCAGTCATTTATGAGATTAATTTATGAGCTTTTCTTTTGGTTCTTGTTTGAATTTCTTGTCACCTAAAAGTGAAAAAACAACAACTCTGGTTTCCTCAGGGCTGTTTACATTCTTAATAAACTAGAATAAACTCCAGTTCTCAGCAGATTTTCTGTATGACATTACATCTGATTCATTGATTGGATTACAGCGCTGAATGATTTTAATTGTGACGACAACCTGGCATGAAACACCTAGTGCACCCATGGTTGACATTTGTAGATGCTTTTTTTTCATGGCTCCAGTTACCAAGCTTGAGCGGTGCCGCACCCAAAATATTTTAAATAAGTAATAGGTAAGTAAATGAATGCATAATTAAATCTGAAGAAAGAATTTGTAATCTCTTCAGGTCAGAATGTACCATGTGCAGTTCCGAAGGTTCAGGATTATTTTAAGGTAAGACATGCATTTTAAGGAAATAAATTTCTGTATTGAATACATAGATACAGTATGTTACATTATGATTAAATTTTTACTAATTATTGTAAAAATGTTTCTCTCTCTTCCTTCATTTCAGTTCGCCCCTGTGCAACATCAGTCTCCTGTTCAACTAGTGAAACAATCACAATGCTGTTCTCAAGGTGACTTGTTGTTAGTATGTTTATATATATATATAGTACCTGTGAATAACATTAAAGACTTTTAATGTTTGTGGTCTTTTTCTAGAGTTGCACATTTTGAAGCTTTCAGTGCCTGAAACAGGGACACAACATCAAGAGGCAAGAAATCAGCCTCTTACTTGACAAATACTGTAAATAGTAATCGAAATCTATCTTCTTTTCTGATGGTTATTTTATTTGAGTAGGTTATAAGACGTTCCTCCCACTGTCTGTCTGCTAGGCTTTTATGGAGGAGTATGAAATGAATCTTGAGCAGAGGGGTCTGTGTATGATTATTGACTGTGTTGGCTTTGATGGAGGTAATGTAGTTACAACTGCTGTGCTATATGTAGGTAGTGTGTCATAATGTATTAAAATTAAAGTGTGATATAGATTGTGTATTAAGAGTTAAATGAGAAATACGTGGCGAGTTTTGACCTAGGTTTTTCCCCCAGTAAACTTGTTTGCCACCACATTGATGTCATGATATTTTGGGGGAAAAACACTCTTCATGATTAAGTTTTTAAAAACTCCCAGTGTCCACTCCTGATTTTCTATAGAAATTCACAATGTTCATCATAGCATTTTGTTTTTCCCTTTAATTACAAATTGGCATAAAGTATGGTTAATATGAAAAAAGGAACAGAATTTGTAGCTCTTTAATGCACTCTTGCATAAAACATCTGCATCTAAACATCTACGTTGTGTCCTTTCAGACTTGTTGAATCAGACATTTGAGCGTCTGGGTTTCAGGGTCATTCTCCACTCTCTCCTGGGTCTAAAAGAAACCCAGAAGGTCTTGGAAGACCTGACCCGCAACAGGATCCTTCATGGGGTCAATCGCTTTGTCTGCTGCATCATCAGCAGGGGAACGGACACTTATCTGTTGGCTACGGACTCTAGTCGCCTTGGCATCAGGCTGGAGGATCTCAGGCAGCTTTTCAGCCCTACCAACTGTCCCTCTCTGTGTGGTAAACCTAAACTCTTCTTTACCCTGATCTACAGGACCTCAGAAGCCCCAAATACATGCTCAATGGACGATGAATACCTAGAGACAGATGCACCAACATGCCACTGTTCTAGGAGGCAATGTGCAGACGCAAGGACTATCCCAGTGTCTGCAGATGTCCTTTGGAGCGTGTGCAGAGCAGAGGCAAAGCTGCTGGAAGGGTCTGGCCACCAGTCTGTTTACATGCATGCTTTAAGCTCTACCTTACTGAGGGGACGTGAGAGGTATGGTTGCTGTTTATGATCCATTTCAAATAGCGCTTAATACAACAGTGGACAATTCAAATATTTAAAATCATGCAATTTTATGAACAATAAATATTTTTTGCTGTATTATTTCATTCACAAAAAAATGCTGAACATTCACTTTGAGAAAGGAACATCTCTTTACAACACTTTACAGGTCTCATTTATTAAAAACATGGTATTAGCTATTAACGAATATGACCTAACAGTGAACAATATATTTTTTACATTTAGTATTGTTAGTTAATAAAAATGCAATTGTTTATGTTAGTTTGCAGTGCATTAACTAATGCTAAATATATATACATGTGTGTGTGTGTATAATATAATATATATATATATCTATCTAAGATTAATAAATGCTATAGAAGTTTTGTTCATTCTTAGTTCATATTAAAGGGATAGTTCATCCAAAAATGAAAATGTAAGAAGATTAGGTGATTTTGTTTCTTCAGTAGAACACATATGATGATTTTTAACTTTAACCGTTGCAGTCTATCAGTCGTATAGTTCGAAAGTTGCATATTAAAAGACAGTTGGACATAGTGGTGTATTAGAGGTAAAAAATAATTATATAAATACTTTTTGGTTTCTGGCACAAACCGATCGTTTCGTGTCTTAGGACATCAATGTGTCGTCACGAGCCGCAGGGTTCAATTTGGATTTGTCTGTGCTTGTTTTTTTTTTACTCTCGTAGATTTTGTTACCATTGCCATGCATTATACGACTGATAGACTACAACGGTTAAAGTTAAAAATCATCATATGTGTTCTACTGAAGAAACAAAGTCACCTACATCTTGGATGCCCTGGAGGTAAGCAGGTAAACATCAAATTTTCATTTTTGGATGAACTATCCCTTTAAAGGTGCTATATACAAATGTTCAACCACTAGATGTCACAAGGGAGCTCCACACCCCCCTCATGCAACACATCAAGAGAACGGAATATATAATGAAATTGAAAATTTTGGCTTTTGTGAATGATGTCAAGTGACAAGGAAAGTATTATGCTAGTATAGAAAAATGCCGTCCGGCCATGTGTACATAAATATTTTTCAGCATTTGCTGTTGAGTTCTCAGGAAATAAAAATCTGTAATTAAAAGCTCCTTATTTCTGTATTTTTCTCCTAAATTTGCAGAAAGATGCTTTTATTGGACGTCATGGCAGAGGTGAACAGAAACGTGGTTAGTCACAATCAACAAAATCCTGGCAATGAGTACCACTTTCAACTCTCACACACACTACGCAAGAAACTTTACTTGTAACACTTAATGTGTACATCACAACACAAACTTTGTCTCTCTTTCACACACACACACACCGCACTTGTTGTTTTTAGAATGGAATTATTGTTTGTGCCCATATAGTGGATGAATAATCTGACCATAGCTGAATACTGCCGTAGCGTCTTGTCCTATAACATTGTGTTTTATGTATTTGAAAAATGATCAATATTGCTATTTATTTATGTATCTTTACCTCCTGTGGCAGCTAATACGATGTTCTCTGTTGCAGTTACAATGCTAGTGCCTCATTAATTAATTTAAGAATACCTTGTCATCAGTCAGGCTAAATTAAGTTTATTTGTATAGGTCTTTTGAAAATACTGTACATATTGTCTCAGAGCAGCTTTACAAAAAAATCATGCCTTAATGCTCCAATAGTGCAAGGCAAAGATGAATGGTTCAAGGAAAGCAACTCTGAGTTGTTTAGGTGATGAACAGAAGCTTTGGGTAGGAATCAGACCCCATCATCCTCTGGTATGACATCTAGTTACATTGTATGCTGTAGTATTAATCATGGGTCCATTGAATACATTTTTAATATGTGAGATTTGAGAATCTTGTTGAGTAATGCATTTAAACATATATATTTTTCATAACATCATATACACATCAATAATAATGCATATGCAACTTATACCAAATATATCCTTGTCGTCTCATATTTTTGATGTTCTATGTACTGCTGTATCAGGAGGCTGGAGTTTTGTGACCTTAATGAGCGTGGTGGAATGTAGCGTGATAGATCACTAGAGCAGACCATAAAGTAGACCATATAGGGCTTTAAAAGTAAGTTGACATGAAGTGATGATTATATTTGGGCTGATCTGATCAGATTTTCTGGATCTGGTAAGAATAGGCTATTGAAGTAGTCTTTAAAAAAATAATAAATAAAACACAACTGTTCAGAGTAGCTGCTCTATTCCATTTTCCTTCACTTTTTCCCTAATTTTTAATATGTAGAATTTGTAAATTATAATATGTATCAAACCAGATTGTACCACAACTTTAATATCAAATTATTTAAACATGTCTAATTGTCATTCAATTAAATAACTTATCATATTCATGTAATTCATTCCTTCTCCCTTCAGAGACTTATTTGTGAATTGGTTACTGGATGATTTGTATTAGCAGATTAAAAGATGACCGAATATGAAAACAGTGACCAGTATAAAAAATATCTCTAAAGTGCATTACTCTTGACAGCATGAAATGTGTAGAGAAAATGAGTATTTTGAATAAAAATGCTTTAAATCTACAATCCTTCAAAAATTTCATCTCGCTATCTTGAGTCATTTTTCACCACCTTCTAGTATAAAACAATAACCTGCAAAGAGAGTCAGTAAATTAATCTTTTTCAGTGAATACATTCAAAAGTTTTGATTCATTGAACTCCCGTTCACTAGCAGGGCTGGAAATGGGGGGCACGCGGGGGGATGGAGTCCGGGTGTGAATTTCGAGGGGGGCGGTGTTCCAGTTCCAACTGCCAGGGCCGTCCTTAGGGGGGTGCGGCCCTGCGCTTGAGAATTTCTACAACAGTTTTATACATTTTTTTTATTTTATGCAAAATTAATATTAAGTGACATATTTTAGAACACTATTGTCTGATTGTGCTATTAACGAAAATAATGCCAAACAAAGTCACAGCTGAGTTTATGAATGAATCTGCGTTTTTGAACAAATCTAGTGAGTCAATGATTCAATGACCCATTCATAAAGGCAGTCATTTGCTTCATTCCTAAATGAATCAGCTGTTCGAACGAATCGATTAAATGAATGATTCAGTGACAATGACTTGCCGCCACCTACTGAGGGTTTCAGTTTCATTTTTAAAGTATAATAAATTATTTAAATCCTTTAATATTTCTATTTTCAAAACTTTATATTTAAAACATTAATCTCATAACATTGTTATGAATTTAAATACCTTAATCTCTGAGTCACATTAAACAGTCTGTAAATATTCCTTAATTTGTGTTCTGTGCACCTCCTAGTGAAAAGACCAATTGTTAATGCTAATTTCATTTGACTGGTAACTTATTCATCCTATTCTTATCTTATTTTAATTGAATTTGTTTATTTAAAATTTTTAATAAAATATTTTATATATGTATATATATATTATACAAAAAGATGACACATTTAATAAAGTTATAAAAAATTGCATTACAAAGGTAAACTTTACACTTTAAAGAGTCAAATATCGCCTCATAACGGGAAGGTTAATTTCTGTCGTTGATCAGAATGTGTTTCTAACTTTTTATTTATTTATTTTTCTTTTCCACAAGTGCTCCTAAAGAGAAATGTAAGCATAGAGTCCTGAAGAATGTAATGTTACCTTTTAAAAACTAATTGCAAATGTTTATACAAAGTGTAAACTATTAAATATAATCTACAAATCATGCAATACTGTACCACTAAATAAGAAGTGTTTTGCGGGCTTAGCTAATCAGGCCAATTAAAGACAATTACTAATCATTCTCATTTTAAATTTTTTATTAAATCATTTTCATTTCACTAATCAATCTTTTTTTTAATTAAACACAAGAGGTCATTAATGATGCTTACATTATAACATCCTTGACACTAGGTACAAATGTCTGTGTACATTTTATTTGGTTAGCAGTTTCAAACGACCGTGCCTACAGCATCTTTAGGTAATAGGATGAGAAGCGGCAGGATGTGTTTTTGTTTGCATAAATTTGCCGTCATATATTTTTCCCCATCTACCAGAGGTCGGTAAAAAAAAAAAAAGTACATTTTAAGAAAGTGTTATAGGAACTACAGATACAGCAGTATGTTTTCACATGAGACTTTGTTCAACAGTTAGCTCTGTTTTCTCTTCTTGCACAACCCCAAATAGCTTTCTGTAGAAATGAAACTTATGCCAGGCTTTACTGTTTTTCCTAGTTTGCAGAGAAGTACAACTAAAATTTGTGAGAAAAGAGAATGAATTTTGTTTTGCATTTCATAAAAAAAGCACTGCTGTTCATATTTTAGAATTGTATTTTTTCAAGTTTACAGAGTGTGATTTTACAGATCATAAGAGGCTACAAGTGCACAACAGCAATTTTCTGTTCATACAAAAACTGATTGGTGGTCATTTAGGAGTGAAATTAAAGAAAAATTTATGGGGGCAAATTACAGAAAAAAAGTGTAAGCAATTAAGTTCATTTAAAACATTTTGAATGCCTTGATGGTGATCATAAGGTCGATGAAACATGGAAATTGAAAACATTTCTATTGAACCTTGTATTATATTAAAAAAAGAATCACTTGTGTCATAAAAGAAAGCATCTAACCTGACAAAGGTTAATTAAAAGAATTCCATTATCCAGAATTCCTGTTGATTATGAGAGCTAGAACCTGCCGTTTGTTTAGCCTACAGTGGGTTGCTTTGAATGATTTAAAAGAAAATGCTGGTGGCTACAGTTCTAGGTGAGCAGTGACCAATGATATCAAAATGAAAGCATGTAAACTAATATTTTAAGAAACAAATCTTTACAGTTCAAAATATTGATGTATGCTCCCTCTTTACAAAACTGCTGCTTTTTGGGAAACTTCACTGGCTCAGTAGTCAGGTGCTAGAAGTCAGGTTGCTTCTCATGACATTCTCATGAATGATGGCACCTGAATTAAAAATAGTAGATGTGGAAAATGTGGTTTTTAAGCAATACCTCGTTTTAATCTTTATACAATCAGTCTTCCTTCCTCTTCTGCGATTTTCTACAACAGCGTCTCCAGCAAAGTGCACAGCATTTAAATGTTGCTAGAGTTACAATCAGCACAATAAAAAGCAGGAAGCCAATCACATCTAGACTGTGGTACTGAAGCCAGTTCAGCTCATGAGCAGCAGGTCTCAGGTGGTCTGCCCCCTTGTGTCTCATAACAAACTCTGTCCAGTAGACTGCAAGGTCCAGGGGCTGCATGGGACGGTCATTGTGTATGGCCGACAGCTTCTCCATTCTTTGCTTATAGCTGCAGAACACAGCAAAAGAAATGCATTGAGATTATGAAAAAGAAAAAAATAATATAGAGACAGTGGGAAAACTTTTGAAAAAAAAACATCAAACTCTCACCTGCTGTCGTTAATAACTGTGTTGAGAGTATCGACCAGTGTTTCTGCAGTGATATCATGGATGCTGAGCACCACTCCCACCCCTCGAGTTGCCATACGGTGCACATTGTCACCCTGGTCACCAAAGAGGGGAAGCATCACCATGGGAATACCATGACAGATGCCCTCATAGATTCCATGTGTCCCACCATGAGTGATAAAGGCCTTTGCTTTGGAGTGACCTTTGATAAATGAGAAGAATTAAAGTAACTTTGCTTTTGATAGGACTAATTGGCTGGCACATACAGCAGATGACGATATGCAAACAATACAGTGGGGTCCAAAAGTCTGACTGAGATTATTTAAACCTGGAAATAGTTTTAGGACTGAAAAAAAACATTTTTTAAAAAGTTAAATTGAATAAACAAGTTGCCACATAATTAAAGAAAATTTTAAGTGTTTCTTTTTTTTTTTAGGTATGTCCCCCTTTGCTTTATATGATCACCACAACGCTTGTGAATTGTGAATTAATTTAGAATGAACAAATTGCATTAAATTAGATGCAAAATGCATCTAAAATGCATGGGCTCAGACCTTAGATCCCACTGTATAAAGCTTTGATTTAATTTGTTTTGTAGTATAATGTTTAGCATCCCCATTTATTGATCTTTGCAGACATAGGCACCAAAAAACACAAGATATTCTCCATTAAAAATAAATAAATACATTTAAAAATCAACTGCGATTCAGGAACCTCTCTGGTTGGTGGATCTCACAACTGGTCTCTGCGAGTCATAATACACACAAATGCCTTTTTACAGTGGCTATATAATAGTGTGCCATTCTATTCCCAAAATCTTGTTATTTATTATATTGGGCTTCATTCATTCAATACTTTTGTGACTGTTATTTTTTTCAACATTAAATAAAAACAAATAAAATGTATGTGTTTGGGCAGTTTTCATAATCAATAGCTCATATTTAGACAATCACGTGGAGTTTTATATGGCAGTATGCATCTGAAAAACTAAATTAGCAGTATATTTGTTCATTTCCTCAGTGAAAATCTGCGTTCTATATTATGACGGGTGGGCACTCACCGGCAGAACATAAATCAGCGTCTATGAGTGCAGGTATTTAAATAGAATTCCACAAGATCTATAGATATTCTGACACCTCAGGGCACCCTTTTCTTTCAAAATTCTCCAGTATTTATATAGCTGACCAGATTGCTCATTGGTCAAGCATCTGTGCCAATACAGCCACAGTTAATAGGATTAACTAACATTATGAGTCTGGTTCTGCTCTCCAGTCATTGCAATCATACCTGACATGCCAGGCAAATTACAGACTTTACACAGTTTGTTTAACAAAAGCTGCTTCTGTGTTCTTGGTTTAATGATCCATGTTGTAGCTGGAATTGTGGTTGGCTGATCCTTAACTTGCTACCTAAGAGATAAGCCAAGTGAATCCCTGGATTTAACAATAATAAATGTACTCCCTCACACTGGTCCTCACTCACTTCTGTTGACAAACAGAAATCCCTCATTCTTTAGCACTGAATCTAACTAAAGTGGTTGCTTAACTACAAATAAATCCTATTCTTTTCACATGAAAAAAATGCATAAATATATATGCAATTAAATTAATTATTTGATTCCATAGATCGATTAGGTTTCTAGATCTCTACTTTCATATTGATTAATAGAGCCTTATTTTTTTGGCTGCATGAAGAATTTTAACATTACATATACAAAGCATTAAATTAGCCAATTAAATGTCATATGGTATGGGAAAAGTAAGTTGTTCATTGCATAGTTTAAAAATAAATAAATAAACCAACACCCGGGTGGGTGATACATGTTGTAAGCTTAGTACCAAGGAAAAGAAAAAGAAAAGACCAGAGAAACTCACCGAGCAAGTCATTCTGTGGAAGCCACTTCATCAACTTGACATTTTCTGGGACATTATCAGGAATCTCACCTGTATACCGCCAAAGAACCTAGAAAAAGTGATATTCAGCAGGCAGTTTTTATTCAAAACTAATTGCAGCACAATTACTCCAGGTACTGAAGCTATCTTTTGAAGCTATACTAATTTATAAAACAGAACCAGGTTATCAGTTTAGACCACTACCTTCAACCACTACTTAAGAAGTACCCTTTTGGTGCAATAATTTTTATTCAAGTGTGTAGACACTTATAAATACATGAATTCCATTGCATTATATACAGTAGCATATCAAACCAAAGGCATCTACAATTCTTTTTCCCTCAGAACTGACCTGGCAGAGTTAACAAAAGTAATTTATCACATTTTCAACTAAGTTTGGCAAACAGAAAACACCCAAATACTCTTTTAT